ATGAACTGCTGTAGGGAAAATGAGTTTGCTCTGTAAACTTTCACCCAAATCACAATACATTAAAAAAAAAAAAAAAAAAAGACACAAGCTCTGCAGCCAGTCCTTGAAGGAGCACTGCTCTGCCAATCCCGGCTCTTCCCCATGGGCCTGCTCTGATTCTCTGGCTCCTGTTTGTTATGATGAAAGCATGGATTTGATCATCTCTAAGATCTTGTCTAAGGAGTTCTGGTGGTGCTGTGGTTAAAGCATTGGGCTGCTACCCAAAAGGTCAGCAGTTCAAACTCCTCAGCTGCTCCACAGGTAGAAAGATGAGGCAGTTTGCTTCTCTAAAGACTTACAGCCTGGGAAACCCTATAGGGCAGTTCTCCTCTTCCTATAGGGTCGCTATGAGCCAAAATCGACTCAGTGGCAGTGGGTTTTGTTTTTTGGTTAAGATTTTGTCTCTCTGAGGGGATGCTAGCATGGTAATTTTCCAGCTGTACTTTTCACCCTCAGCCTGGCTGGCAGGGTTGGGGACAGAGGATGCTGGTAGAACAATAGACCAGCATCTGGCCTGCCTTTCCCTTTTCCACAAGAGCCCCCAGTGAGGCTACATGAAGGAGTATGAGACCCATCCTTAGACTGCTTCCTGGTGTGGTGGGAGCTGTGGAACCCTAGACCACCAATATTTATAGAGCACTTATACTCTGTGCTAGAGTCCATGGGTGACACAGTTAACACTCTTGACTGCTAACCAAAAGGTTAGAGGTTCAAGTCCACCCAGAGTGCCTTGAAAAAAAAAACAACCTGATGAAAAAAACCAGCTACTGAAATCCCTATGGAGCCCAATTCTACCCTGACATACAAGGGATCACCAGGAGTTAGAGTCTACTTGATGGCAACTGGTACCTGGTTATACTCTGTGCCAGGCACTAGCTACGGATGCTGGTCAACCCACACAGAAAGGCCCCTGTTCTCAGGAAGTATCTAGTCTAATTGGGGAATAAAGAGGGAATGAGCAGACAATACATAAGTGGACACATAATTATAGGTGTGATGCAGGTGTGGGTGTTCTTTATGCACAGTGACTAGAAGCTGCCCAAGGATGGAGACTGGGTTCCAGGCTTCTCTGCACCCCTGGAGTCTCCCCAGGGTCAGCTGAGAGTTGGCCCCACTCTGTAAGCAGTTGTTGAATTGCCTGGCATGAGCAATAAAGCATATGGAAAGTGCCCCGTGCTGGTTCTGTCCACTGTAGAAGCCAGCATGTATACATAAACATCTCATTTCAGTTAAACATTTATTGAGGGCCCATTATGTACCAGCAGGGCCCTGAGCCTCAAGAATTGAGATGTGAACAAAATCAGATCCCTGCCTCCCAGAGCTCTCTGCTGGGACACCAGCAACCCAGTGTCCTAGGATGGTGGTGCTGTGTGTGTACCTAATACCCCTCAGGACAGGACTGGTGAGCTAGGAAAAGGGTATCAGAGATTCCATCCAGGTGAAAAGGATAAAGAAAGAGCCACAAATGTATACCCAAATCTACACAGATGGATTAACACATACACCTAGAAACAAACACACAGATGTAGTGGAGACATTAACTACCTAAATAAGTACCACCCTCCACCAAACTGCCGAAAAGTCGGATCCAACTCATAGCGACCCCTCCTTGGGTTTCTGAGGTGGTATTACTACAGAAGTAGATTGCCCAGTCTTCCTTCAGAGGAGTGGCTGGTGGGTTTGAACCACCAGCCTCCTGGTTAACAGTCAAATGCCTTAGGTACTATGTCACCAGACCATGTAGACTCAAATCACCAGACTATCACAATTGAGCTCTGATAGTGGTCCCCCAAAATTGAGGATGTCTGTGTGAGAGAACAACCTATGTGTTGGAGGTTGACATCCAGGGCACCCTAGAAATCACCAGACCCTGAGCTTGGGGTTGCAGTCTGTCTTAGTTTCCTAGTGCTGCTTTAACAAAAGAGCCACAAGTAGGTGACTTTAAAGAACAGGGATTTGTTGTTTCATAATGTTGGAGGCTCCAAGTCCAAATCAGGACATCAGCTTTAGAAAAGTTTCCTTCCTAAGGAACCATTTAACCCTCTAACATTGCTATGAGATAGGTATGCCACTACTCCCACTTTACAGACTTTTAGAAACTGAGGCGTAGAGGGCTTTAGTGAATCATCCAAGGTCATGTGGGCAGCAAGTGGTGGAAGCAGGATAGTCCCAGAGTCCATGCCTAAACACGTAGAAGGGAGATCTGGTTCTGCCCCACTTCCCTTTCATTGCCGGTAACACACCAAGGGGCCCTGGATAAGTCACTGCCAATCTCTGAATCTCCATTTCCTTCTGTGGGAAGCAGAAAAGTCTTTCAGCCTGGTGGCCTCCCAGAGCCATTGTGGAAACCAAATTAACAGTCTACATCCTTGCCCAGGTATTGCTGGGAGAAAACGGTGGACTGGCACTGCATTCTGGGGAGCTGCCCTTTCAGGCTGGACACTCTACCTCTTGTCCCCTGGAGCAGGGTCAAGGTGGGGAGTCGTCTCTGACCTCCCTCAACAGACCCACAGCTGGGTCCACAGACCTCTTGAGGCCTCCCTGGGGGATAAGGGTCGTGGACACTAATGAGGAAGCCTGGAGAGATACAAAAGCAAACCCATACAGAGAAAAGTATAAACTGTGCCCACTATTCGCACCCGGGCCAAGGTCCTCCGAGCTCAATTACGTTCTCAAGGACTATTTATAGTCTTGGAGAAATTAGAGTTTTCTGGGTAACGGGAAAGCTGACAGACTCCAGCTGGTTTAGGCTTGCTGCCGGGGGGCTGGTGGTGGTGGGGAAAGTGGGAACCATGGGCCTTCTTATGAAGGGCTCCACACTCCCCAGGCCCTCTCCTGATGGGAGAAAAGGGCTGGAAAGGAGCATCCCCTTTGCCAAGGGCCACACTCTCAGGTCTCTCTGTGGCCTAAATGGGAGTGAGGCCAGCTGCCTGGGGCCCTTAAGGTTGAGACATAAGCTTCTACCCCAAGCCGGTCATTTCACAGATGCTGGAACTGAGGCTCCGAGGGGCTGTAACCCATCCAATGTCACTGACAGATCTCCTGGCCCAAGCTCTCCTCTGCATCAGGATCCTTACAGTAAGCCTAGGTGTAAGACCTGAAAAGCTCCCAGGGGCCCTGCAGAGCAGCTGCCCCCACCATGGGGAGACAGTGGGAATTGAACTTCTAGCAATCACGTGCCCCAGTGTGTGTTCCTGAGTGTGGAAGGCATGTCCTGAGGAACTCAGAGAAGAAAATCTAAACTCCCTTACCTGGTATTCAAATCTCCCACCTTCCCTTTTAATTATCTCCCTCATCCTTCCCTACACAAATGCCTCCCTTCAGCTACTCCTAGAACATTCCCAGTTCTCATGCTTCCCCTCACCTTCCTCCATAGCACTCTTCCCATCTGGATTGCCTTTACCTCTTCTCTGATTAACTGAATGCTCCCACCCTCTCAAGACCTCTGAAGCCCCATTCCAGGCCCCCCTGCCCTAGTGATTTGCCCCCACTCTTAAGTCCTTACTGGAGCTAACAGTCACACCCAGGGAGGCCTGGTTAGTGGGCACTGTAGTGGGCCACCCAGATCCACCCTTCAGGACGAGCTCCCATCCCTCCAGCTGCAGGAAGATTGGTGGCTCCCTGCTGAGTCCCTCCGCAGAAATTGCCTCAGTCAGAGAGAGCTGACTCACCTAAACCTTGCCCCCTTTCCCAAGGCAGGAGGTATACAATGATTGACCGGGGCATAGAGGCCCTCTCCTCCCTTCCTCCCAGGTCGGGTAACTCTAAGGGCCGTCTCAGCTCAGAGTTCCTAGAAGATCTGCTGAAGACTTTGTTAGAATTACACCTCAGTTCAACATCTCTCTCTGCCCTGTCCTGCTTCCTTTACCCCTCATAGGAATTCTTCCTTGACAGCTCGTTAATTTCCATCTCAGAGAACACTTTCCAGGGAAGTAGGTTTATGGCACCTGGTAACACCTGTGATTAAGCAGCCAGCCTGGGTTTTAGCTCTGTGTCCTTAGGTGAGTCAACTAACTTCTCTGTGCCATCACTTTTTGTTATCTATTCATGAGAATAATACTCAGGAAATTGTTTCTATCTACTAAGAGTGTTGTGAGGATTAAGTGCATGGTGCCTGATATTGAGAGCACACTCAATAAGCCTTAGCTATTACTATTATTATTTCAATAAACTTCTCTGAGGTTCAGGTAAATGGGATCAGGATATTATCTATGTCATGGAGTTGGTGAGAATCAAATAAAATAAGTAAGCAGAGAGTCAATTTCTGTACTCCTGTGACCTAATACAGACTGGAGGTCAAGTTCTGTGGGGGCCTTTGCCCACCCTGGAGCTGTGGTCTGAAAGCTTGACCCTCTTCCCTTGCCAACCTGGTGAGGGCCACTGTATTAGTCAGTAGGCTTAACAAATGACCACAAACCTAGTGGCTTAAAGCAACGTAACCCAAATTTATTATCTTACAGTTCTGTGGGTTAGAGGTCTGACATGGTTCTCACCAGACTAAAATCAGGGTGCCTATCTGGAGGCTCTAGGTGCAAATCTTTTTCCTGCTCATTCAGACTGTTGGAAGAATTCAGTTCCTTGTGGTTTTAGCACTGAGGTCCCATTTTTGTGCTGGCTGTAAGACAAGGGTCATTCCTCGCTTCTAGAGGCTACTGTACTTCTTGGCTATGGCCCCTTCCTCCATCATTAGAGTCACCACCAGAGTGTGGAGTCCCTCTCACCATGCATCTCTGACCTATCTTCTTCCATCACTCATGTGATTAGATTTGGTCCACTCAGATAGTGCAAGATAATCTCCCCATTGCAAAGTCCTTAATCACACCTGCAAGTCCCTTTTGCAACATGCTTACAGGTTCCAGAGATTAGAACATGAATGTCTGTGGGGGATCAATATTCTACCTACCACAGCCACTCATCATGGGACCAGCTCTGACTTCAAAGTATACTCTCTCCTCTTCTAGGGAGAGGTCTGCGCGGTATCCTGTGCAGCAGGGACCTATGGCCCCAACTGCTCATCTGTCTGTAGCTGTAGCCATGGTGGCACCTGCTCTCCAGTAGATGGCTCCTGCACCTGCAAGGAAGGTAATGTGCGTGCCTTCTTTCCCAACCCCATCTTCCATATATGTGTACACTGCCCAGTGAGCTGCCAGCTGAGGAGTCTGGGTTGATCCTGCTCAACCACGCACTTGCAGGGCCAGGGAGGCTGTACTAGTCAGGTTCCAGCCCAGGAAGCAGAACCCATGGAGGGACTTCAATAGTGGGCATTTAATAGGGACATTAGTTACAATGGTGTTTGAAGAGCACATAAAGAAGATGAGCAACCCACAGATTAGCAAGTATGAGAGAAGGTGCTACCACTCCTAGGGTAGGAGGGACAAAGGGAAGAGGAGGTGCTCCCACAGCCTGGGAGAGAGGGCCATCCAGTGAGAGAGAGGAGATGGGGAGATTGACAGCAGGGCTGCATGGCTGTGCCAGAATCAAGGAGGCACTGCTTCAGAGGAGAAGATACCTGGCTTCTCTCCTGTTCCCACTCTTCAGTCTGTAGGCCAGCTCACCCCTGGGTAGACCCACCTGGGAGCCAGCTTACAAGAGATCATGGGATATAAAGATGGCAGAATCGCCCCTCTGAGAACCAGAATAAAGCAAGGAAGGGGGAGATGTGTTTGAGGGCACACAGGCAAATGACCAGACTCAGAATATGAAATTAGCCTTCCTTGCAAACAAAGGGGTGGCAGTTCAAACCCACCAGCCACTCCTCGGAAGGAAGATTGGGCAATCTACTTCCATAGAGATACTGCCTTGAAAACCCAAAGAGGGGTCTCTATGAGTTGGAACCAACTCGACGGCAATGAGTTAGGTTTGGGTTTTGCAAACAAAGTATACTGAGAAGCTGCCTATAACCACCCTAGCAGATCGTACCCACCTCAGCTGGTTCCTCATCCCAAATGAGATTATCACTATGGTACTTAAGGTTATGTGTCAACTTGGCTGGGCCTGGTTTTGAGTGGCTGGACAGCTGGATGTAGTCATTCCCCATGACGAAACTGGTAATCAACTCTGTGGTGGAATCTGCTGTGAGCAGCTGAGTAGCTGCCTTAAGGATGTGGTCTGCTTCCTGTATATAAGAAGACAGTTTTGAGAAAGGTCTTGAGCGTCTTTGCATTTTTGGATCCTGTATTTGGCTGAGTCATCAGTGAGTGGCCTGCCATGTTGTCTGCTGATCTTGGGACTGTTTCTGGACTTGAACTAGTGGCTTGCTGTGTTGGTTGATAATCTTTGGACTGTGGCATTTTACTTGTCAACATTGGGTTTGTCAGCCTTAGCAGCCAGCAGCTACCTGAGGTAAGAGACACCTCCAGCTCCAGTGGGCCGGGAACAAGAGGCAGAGCTGAAGCCCAAGGTTGAGGGGCCTTCACCCAGCTCCTAGAGCTGGCACTTGAAGTCAGACTTCTAGCCTCCAAAACTGTAAGAAGCTAAACTCCTATTTGCTGACATATACTTGTGGTATTTTCTGTTAGAGCAATACGAAAGAACCAAAACAATCGCCTACAGTAAAATCAGTGAGAATCAGGGGACAGGAACCCTGGGCTCTAGCCCTCATTCTTGCAGTTTTCTGTGCAGATTCTATGAGGAATGTAGGTTCTAACCCACCAGCCACTCCTCGGAAGGAAGGTTAGGCATTCCTACTTCCGTAGTGATACTGCCTCGGAAACCCAAGGAGGGGTCGCTATGAGTCAGGGCCGACTCGATGGCAAACAACAACAACAACAACAACAACCCAGCAATGAGAGATGCAATGGTTTGGGTAGGATTCCATGTACAGAGCCAAGGGGGGTGGGCAGAAAGATGCCCTGGCCCTGGATGGAGAGGTGACAGCCCCTTTCCCTCCTCCCAGGATGGCAGGGCCTCGACTGTACCCTACCATGTCCTAGTGGGACGTGGGGCTTGAACTGCAACGAGAGCTGCACCTGTGCCAATGGCGCAGCCTGCAGCCCTGCAGATGGCTCCTGCTCCTGTACCCCCGGTTGGCTGGGAGACACCTGCGAACTTCCCTGCCCGGTGAGTGTCAAGGGCAGGGAGTGGGCACTAGCAGAAGTGGGGAGGGACAAAGCAGCCTGACATTTCCTCATGCACTTCACCTGTGGTTGTTTTGCTCATGGATATGCACAGAAAAGATTGCATGGTGGAACACTTGGATTCAGGCTTCAGCTATAACTCTCACTGCTCTGTGGCCACTTTGCTAATTTGGGCCTCAGTCTTCTGATTTCTAAAATATTTGGTAGATGCGTGTGGCATCACTTTCCCCTCACTTTTATGGTAAATGTTATTAATTAACTTGGCACTTACCCAAGCCCAAACGTAGCTTCAGAATCCTAAACACAGTGCTATAGGGCAGCCCTCACTAATCCATCACAGTTGCTATCCTTTCACAAATAATATCTAAGCTTCCTTCTGGTTCCAACAGTCTATAACTTTATATTCAGGCTATAGGAGGACTAAATCTCTCTCTAGCAATAACCACCCAGATGTAATCACTAGATCATAGTCTAAGATACAGATAAGATAAACTAGCTGATGTGATATTGTTGAATGAACATGGGCTTTAGAGTCCTACAGTCCTAAGTTCAAATTCAGTCTTTGCTCCATCATAATTAAGTTACCTTGGGCATGTTACCTCACCTCTCAACCCTGTTTTCTCATCTTTGAAGTGGGAATATAATGGAGCTGTTTCATAGAGTTGTTGTGAGGATCAAGAGAAATAATGTATATAACAAGGCTCTTCATACCTAATGGGGATGTACCAAATGTTGGTTGGCACTGCTGCTGCTTTCCCAGTAAACAGTGAATAAATCATAGTCATTCTTCACATATGAATGATGTCTTATAATTTGCAGTGCTTTCTCATTTGCAATTTTAGTTGATGGTCATTCAATTGATAGCCCTGCAAGCTTGACCATCCAGAAGTAGAGCAGGACTTACCGCCTCCTTCCCTCCAGACCTCATATTCCTATTAAGGCAGCCAAACAATTCATGACTGTGTTGATTCCTCGGTTACAAACAGTGTTCCCTCTCTGCCCTAGCCCTAGTCTCTGTGTGTCTCTGTGGGGGATGTGGCTCAGTGTTGGCATTCAGATCCAACAGAAGTATGTTAACCTTTGGAGGTCCGTCTCTGATGGTTTCTCTCTTCCCCCTCCTCTCCACAGGATGGCACATTTGGGCTGAACTGCAGCGAGCGCTGTGACTGCAGCCATGCCGATGGCTGTGATCCCATCACAGGCCACTGCTGCTGCCTGGCTGGCTGGACAGGTAACTCCCTTGTCCCCCCCACCACCCAGGTCCCTATGAAACTGGGTTCTTGGTGTTCTCCTACCTCTCTTGATCGCTCTTTCTCTTCCTCCTCCACTGTCTTTTCTTCCTGCTCCAGAAATGTTTATTTTTCCTTTTATCCCCTCTGGGTTTCATTTCCTCATTCCATTCAATTCAAGCAAACAAATATTTATTGAGCACTATCTTAGTTATCTGGCGCTGCTGTAACAGAAATACCACAAGTGGGTGGCTTTAACAAACAGAAATTTCTTTTCTCACAGTTTAGAAAGCTAGAAGTCTGAATTCAGGATGCCAGCTTGCGGGGAAGGATTTTGGCTGTTCCTTGGCTCCTTGGTGATCTTCAAGTGGTGTGGCTTCTATCTTCCCCCAACTCTGCTTCCTTCATCTGCTCCTTTTATATCTCAAAAGAGATTGACTGCAGACACACCTATACTAATCCTGCCTCATCACAAAGAAAGCCCATTCTCCAAAGTACAGGGCTTATTTACAACACTTATTTTGGTGGGACACAATTTGATCCATAACAGTTATCTGTTATGTGCAGAATCTGTTCTAGGGGCTAGGGACACACCTGTGGAAAAATAAGGCAAAGGCTGGCAGGTGGTGGGTGTAGGTGCTTAATCTGCATTTGCAGAGGACATTGGAGGCAGGGCAAGGAACTTTCTGCTTAGCTCTGGCTTAGAATCCTGGTCTGTTACATCTGTCCTGTCTACCTCCTAAATACACGGTGAATCTAACCACTCCTCTCCAGTCCCACTGCTGCCACCCTGGTGGGATGCTGTCACCTTGGGACACCATCTGTCTCTTATCTGGTTCTTCCCTGCCTCCTGGTTGGTCTCCAGGCCCAGCTACATCCATCCATTCTGCACATGGTGACCAAAGTACACTTTTCAAAACCCAGATCCATTCACATCAGTTCCCACTCAGAATCCCTCCATGGGTTTCCATGACACTTACATAAAATCTAAAATCCTTACCATGGCCCGGGGCCCCATGTGATCTGGCCCTGCCCAACTCTCCACCTCACTCAGGATCCCCTCTTTGTCACTCACTATGTTTCAGCCACCCAGGCCAGAATTTAGTTCTTTGGAGAGCCAACCACCTTCCAGACTCCGGGCCTTTGTATGTGCCATCTCCCGCACCTGGGTCACTTTATCCCTTTACTTCACCTGATCAATTCTTCTCATCCATCAGATTTCAGGTGGAACAGTGCTTCCTCTGGGAAGGCTCTCTCCCTGTTACACTGCCCCTTTCTCAGCCTTCCACCAAGACTGTGTTAAGAGCTCCCTTTTATTAATTCTCAAAATACTCTACACTTTTCCTTTTATAGCACTTACCACAATTGTCCTTGAGCTCTGATTTGAAACTATTTGTTTAATATCTGCCTCTCCCACTTGACCATCAGTTCCACGCAGGCAGGGACCCCATCTGCCTTGTTCACTGCCTGCTACATATCAAGAAGCAGATGGCACAGTGATTAAGAGGCTGGGAATGGAGCCAGATTGCCTGAGTTTGTGACCTTGGGCAAACCCCTTAACCTCTCGGGGCTCAGTTCCCCATCCATATAATTCAGGTAATTGTAATCCTTACAACTACAGGGTCCTTTTGAAGTTTAAATGAGTTAATACCTCTACAGTGCTAACATTGCCTCACACATAGTAAGCACTCAATAAATGTAAGACATGAATTCAGGAAAACCAAAAACCAAACCCATTGCCATTGAGTTGATTCTGACTCATCGTAACCCTATAGGACAGAGTAGAACTGCCCCACAGGGCTTCCAGTGCTATATATCTTTATAGAAGCAGACTACCACATCTTTCTTCCATGAAGCTTCTTGTGGATTCAAACTGCTGACCTTGAGGTTAGCAGCCAAGTGCTTAATCACTGCACCACCAGGGCTCCTTCCTACGAATACAGGAAGTGCTTAATAATTATCTGTTGTGTGAACAAACCTACTGGCCAGTTCAGGGTGGCAGACTACAAAAAGGGCATACAGCCCTTTCTGGCAGTGTAGGTTCTCAGATAATCTGTCACACTAGCTTGCTGCACAGCCTTTGTTCTCCACAACCAGGAAGTTTCCAACATCCAAGGGCCAGGGACATTGCTTCCTCTATAGCACCTCTGACCCTTTCCCCTGCCCAGCCTGCTCCTGACTCTCAGTGCAGAGCAAGGCTCTACTCTGGTCACCAGCACCCTGGACTCCTAGCTGGAACCAAACGGAAATCTATTTAAAAATTTTATTGCCTTAATTTCAAGTGAGCCGGTAAGATTTTAATGACATCTCTGTGCTTAAAAATTCTGGCTTTGATGGACAACCTTTCATCTAGGCCTCTGCTGTTCTAAAGCTAATATCCCCAAATGTGGTCCTGAAGTCATTTCAGAGAAGTGATTGATGTTCTGAGGTTTGTCATGCAGAAGGGCACAAAGGAGGGACAGGGAGAGAGATGGGGTACAGGACTGAGCCTCCCACTCTGAGTTCTCCCCACTGACCCTGATCCCTCGGCCCCTGACATGTTGGCCGTGTTTTGGTTCAATGTGGGTTTTGCTCTGCTTTCAGTTGTCTGAGATGTTGTGCCCTACCCCCACCCCACCCTCAACAGACCAACCAAAAAACCAAACTCACTGCCATTCAGTCGGTCCTGACTCATAGCAACCCCTCCTTGGGTTTCCTAGACAGTATCTCTACAGAAGTAGATTGCCCAGTCTTCCTTCTGAAGAGTGGCTGGTGGGTTTGAACCACCAGCCTTCTGGTTAGCAGTCAAATGCCTTAGGCACAATACTACTCACTGGCCCATGGGCTTCATATCTCATTCATCTTGCCCTGTATATAATAGGTTCTCATTAAATGCTAATTGAAATAAATTGGAAGAAGTTGGCCTATAACTACTTACGGTTTTCCCACTTGACATGGAGACCTTTAAGATTATCTACTCTAACTCATGTTACCAGAAAAAAAAAAAAAAACCTGCCATCTAGTCATTCTGACTCACAGTGACCCCCATTGGATTTCCAATTTGGTAAATCTTTAGGGAAATAGATTGTCCCATCTTCCTTCCATGGAGCAACTGGTGGGTTTGAACCACCAACCTTCTGGTTAGCAGCAGTCAAATGCCTAGGCACTGCACCACCACTTTCTTCATATTCCAGAGGAGGGAAATTAGTTACTCAAGGTCACAGACATTAGTGTCAACAGGTTGGGAGAGGCAAGATTGCATTTTAAGGGGAGCCATTTATTCATTCAACTAGGATTTATTGACTCAAGCTTTATTTGGCAGCTACCATGTACTCTCTGGTAGTGTAGTGCCTAAAGGAACTTGACTGCTAACCAGAAGTCTGGCAGTTCAAACCCACCAGCCACTCCTCAGAAGGAAGATTGGGCAATCTACTTCTGTAGTGATACTGCCTTGGAAACCCAAGGAGGGGTCGCTATGAGTCGGGTCCGACTCAACAGCAAATAACAACAACAACCATGTACTCAGCCAAGGAGTTCAGGTGGTGCAGTGGTTTAGCACTCAGCTGCTAACCCAAACGCCAGTGCTTCAACCCACCAAACCCTCCCTGGGGGAAGGTTGTGGCAGTTGGCTTCTGTAAAGATTTACAGCCTTGGAAACCCTATGGGGGCAGTTGTACTCTGTCCTCTAGGGTTGCTATGAGTTGGAATCAACTTCATGGCAACAAATTTACTTGGCCCAGCAGTGAATGGCAAAATTTAACAGCAAGAGTCTCTGAATATCTACTGTGTGCCAAACACTATGCTGGGCAATGGAGATGCAAAGGTGACTAAGATGACATCCCTGTCCTAGAAAAGCAGGGACAGAAATATCAGTGAGCCATGGTCTTTGTCTTCCAATTATTGGTGGGGTGAGAGGACGTATATGCAGGAGACAGGTGGGGGCAAGGATGTATGCCACTGACAATCAGATGCTTGAATCCCTGGGCAGACATCCAGGAAGGGTTCCTAAAGAAGGAAGGCCCTAAGAGGACCTGAGGACACCCTGCATTCCTGCCAGCCCCATGCCCAGCAGTAGCACGGAAGCCAGGGCTTGGGGACACGGTTAAGCTTCTTGGAGGGTAGGATTGGGGCTGCCCCAGCTGGGATGACTGGAGTCATCCTAGTGGGGGGTCTGGACAGCCTGACCTTGGAGGCCCCTTGCACTGTACCATGAAGTTCCTGGGTCACACAAACAGTTACACATTCAGCTACTAACTGTAAGGTTGGTGGTTCTAACTCATCCAGAAGCACCTTGGAAGAAAGGCCTGGTGACCTGATTCTGAAAGGTCACACTGCACACATGGGGTCTGTTCTTTACATGCAGTTCTACTCTGCACACCTGTGGTTGCCATGACTCAAAATCAACTTGACAGGAACTGGTTCTTGCACTGTACCAGGTCTTCCTTCCAGACCTTCGGCAGATGTCCAAGCGTCTGGACATCTGGAGAAAGACTGGCCCCTTTCTCTTCTCCAGACAGATCTTACTCCAGCCCTGGCCCAGCATCATGATCAGGGAAGGGATGAGGTTCAGATGGCTCCTTGGACAGGAAAGTATAGGCTGGCTTCCAGCACATTCTGACTCTGTAAATCATGTAGTTCTAAACAACTTCACTGGCTCCAAATCATGCCCCCCTCCAAAAAAAAAAAAAAACCCAAACTCACTGCCATGGAGTCGGATCCAACTCATAGCGACCCCTCCTTGGGTTTCCGAGGTGATATCACTACAGAAATAAATTAATAGATCAAACAGGTAGATGTGCAATGAAATCATAGTATCTAATTAACTTTAACTAAGTGAGCTTTACAGAAAACCTTCCTGTAACCTACATACATTTCCTCGCCATCCCACCCATCTGTTTCTCCCCTTCCTCTGTCTTCCGTTGTCTCCACTCCCCACCCCTTTTCCTTCCTCCTTTGGTCTTTACTACTTTCCCTCTCTACACTCCTACCTCCAGTTGGATCTTGGGTCTGGTGGAAAAGACATGAACTTGGTCACAATATTATGGATCCTTAGCTTAGCTTTATCTGCCAGTATAGCTACTGGGGGGAGGGGAGGTTGTCTGGAAAGTAAAGCAGGGGGATTCACTAGGGGCATGAAGAGGAGGGATCTCTAAGAGGGATTATTATCCCCATCCAACTATGGGAAAAACTGGGGCTCAAAAAGGCATCTGGTGAAACTCTGCGACTTCTTTAACAGCTGTAGTTAGGGAGCCTTCCCCTAGGGCCAGGCTGGCCCCTCTGATCACCCCAGTCTGTCCCCTTTAAAACTGGGGCACACCAGCCCAGCACAAGCCCCACACAAAGGGAAACCCTAGACATTTCTCTTCACTCAGGTCCCAGTGTCTCAAGTTCCAGGGAACTCTTAGGGCATAATAAGTACCTCAGACAGGAGCCCCACTCCCACAGAACCAGGCCCAGAATATAAAAATTGCCAAACCCTAGAGCCCAGTGAAGAGTTGCGGCTGCCACCTGCCACCTGAGCAGAAAACCTTACACACATGGTTTTCAATCTCCAAGGAGGCCTCCTTTTTGACAGGAAAACATTATGAGGATCCCATTCATGCCAGTAGCTATACTTAAGGACTCAGAGGACAGCCTGAATAAGTGAAAGCCCCAACCCTTGTAGCAGAGACTGTGGGAAGCTGGGGGCCCGCAGAGCACAGGCTGCTCCTGGCCCTGAAGCAGTTGTAGCCAATGGGGAAGGAGGTCTGAGACTGTGCTAAACCAGCTCTCTGTGCCTCTTTAACGTCCATTGATTGGGGAAAACACAATAGCAACACACTGCCATGAATGCAGTGGTGCTTGTGTGTTCATTTTGTTAATCCCATCTAATTGGAATAGTGTGTGGGTGTGATCTGTGTGATTTGGTCAGCCTGTACCCAGTGCTTGATGTATAGGTGGGATTGGGGGGTCCCTTCTCAGACAGCAAAGATCTATCTGCCCTCATCCATTTGTACCTCCCAAGGAACAGCAGTTCTGGGGTTCTCAACAACTACAAGCTAAAGAATTCCTGGGGGCAGATCACAAAAACTGGAGGCTGGAGCCAGAACTGAAAACAATGTGCAGCTTGCCCTTTCCCCAGCTCCCTGTCCAGGCCGCTTGTCCAGGTTCACTGCTTATGAACCTGAAACTCCACTGGGAGAAATTTCCAGCCAGGTGTAAAATGTGGCTACCAGGTTCCCATTGGGAAAGGATCCCATGCTCTGGGGAGATGCCCCTTCTACTGCTCGCAGAGGCCACATTTCCCAGAGAATGGCATCTGACGTCCCAACCCTGCTGCAAAATTAAAATGTCCCAGGGAAGGAGGCCCTTTGGTCCCACGCAGGACTGGAGGATGAATGTTGCACCCCCTCCACCTCCGCCTCTCTCCAGCTGCTCCGCTCTCCCTCCCCTTGCCTGCTGGCCCCAGTGGGCTTGTTCGAGTCTAGCCTGGCTCTAAATTGGTCCCGCTGCTCCTCTTCTGTTGGTTGGGCTGGCTCTATTCACTGGGTCTGAGGGTCTTCCCTCCCCTTCTTTCTCTTTCTCACAATCCCTGTTCTTATAACAAGGCCAATATGATTTCTAAACTAATGCTGCTCCTCTCTGATCCTCTGATTTTCTCCTTCTAAAGCTAAGCTGGTCTCCTGGGCCCACACCGTTCCATTCACCTAATGCAAGTCAGACCAGAAGACTTTCTGCCTGGGAGGAAACCCCACACCAGAGCTGGGACCTCCAGCCTCAGGCCTTTTTTAATGCCTTCTTAGCCCTAATGCACATTTCTTCTATCTCAGCTCAAGAAGACTATGTTGTTTTGCTCCTCTTTCTTGTTGAAAAATTCCACCCATTCCCCCAAACGCCTCTGTTTGTCAAACTGAGGGTCACTAAATCAATTTGTTGGATTACAACTAGCATTTTTTTTTTAAATGAAATAGAATGCATCATAGTGCATGGAAAACACCAGATTGCATCATACACAGTGATGGTAAATGCCATTTTGCAAAGCATCAGTTTCTGATATGCTTATGTGCACAGAAGATACAAAATACATATCACAATGAGGCCATGGTCAAGGCAATCTGAAATGCCCTGGGGTGGGCAACCCCACCTACTCTCTGAGTCCCTGAAAATTGCCTTCCCTGTCTTTGGTTGGCTGGGACCCAGTAAGGATCTGTGGCTACTTGGCTGTCAAGGGTGGGCTTAGCTCATTCCTGGCCATGAGGGTACACATTTGCCCTACAGTTGGCTTCTCCCAGCTAAGGTGTCAAAGATGATTTGGTCCCTTCTTAACACCACAGTCTCACCTCTCCACTTTATACTTTATGGTTCAACCACACCGAACTTTGGAAAACTTCTTTCAAGGCATGATTCTCTCTCCTGCCTCCTGCCCTTGCCCTTTGCACATATGGTTTCCTTTGCCTGGTCTGTTCCTCCTTGTCCCTTGGCTCTCAGTTTAGACATCACCTCTTCCTGGAAGCTCTCCCTGACCCACCAAGCCATTCCTGGATTTCTCCTTCACATTCCCAGATGCCCTGTGGTTGCCTCCACCTCATCATATTGCATCGTGTCCCCTTTCCATCAGCCTTCCTTCCTCCCTCACCTCTCTGCCCCCTGACCTGAGTCTGTCTTTGGCCCCCAGGCATCCGCTGCGACAGCACATGTCCACCTGGTCGCTGGGGCCCCAACTGCTCGGTCTCCTGCAGCTGCGAGAACGGCGGCTCCTGCTCCCCAGAAGATGGGAGCTGCGAGTGTGCCCCTGGCTTCCGGGGACCCTTGTGCCAGAGAAGTAAGGCTGGGCCCCCTACCCTGCAGACCTCGGACAGCACATCCTCCCTACTCCTTCCCAGTCGGAAATAGTCCTGGTCATGATAGCACCCAAGAGAGGCTAGGCTCTTGGAGTCACCACCACCCCCAGTTCTTCCCTCACTCTAGTCCCTTCTCTCCCCCTCCCTGGTGTTCTGTCCCCAAGTTCAGGGCCCAGGCCAGCTCCTCAGTGAAAAAAGAACCAGACCACAGCTCCTCTCTGTAGAAAGGATGGCCCTCCAGGTGTGAGGAGAGTGGACCTCTCCTATACTTTTGAGGAGCCTCCCTTCATCACCATGTGGGCCCTGTGGGTGGCCAGCCTGGTTGAGGCCCTTTGGGCTGCTGACCACATCTCCCCTTCACCCCCAGTCTGCCCCCCTGGGTTTTATGGCCATGGCTGTGCCCAGCCGTGCCCTCTCTGCGTGCACAGTAGCGGGCCCTGCCACCACATCAGCGGTGTCTGTGAGTGCCTCCCCGGATTCTCGGGAGCCCTCTGCAACCAAGGTAAGGCTCCAGGGGAAGGCACCAGGAGGGAGGTTAGAGCTCCTGGGAGGGAAGGGCTTTGGGGTTCCCATCACACTATGGAGGAGTGTCTCACTTCTTTAGGCCTTAGATCTAGCTCTCTGAGAAATGAGTACCACCGGGTGAGACAAAGCCATTATGCAATCAAAGAAACAGGCTCAGAGAAGTTAAATTGACTTGTCCATGGTCTCAGAGCTAGCAAGTGGCAGAGCTGAGAGACCATTTCTGACTCCAAAACCAAAACACCAAACCAAACTCGCTCCCATTGAGTTGATTCCAACTCAGCAATCCCCTTTGGGTCTCTGAGGTGGTAAATCTTTACAGAAGTAAATTGCCAGTCTTCCTTCCACAGAATGGCTAGTGGCTTTGAACCGCCAACCTCCTGCTTAGCAGCCAGATGCCTTAGGCACTATGCCACCAGAGTTCCTTACATCGGAGAGATCCACATAAAAAGTGGCAACAAGTGTTTTATGCCGATTGCCAAGTTGGGAAGCCAGGAAACACTGTTGGAGTTCAGAGGGAAGCTCTGGTTTTGGTTGAAGATAGCAACTTCTCTGCCCTTCTGCCCTCAAACTCAGGCAACATCACTCATCCCTCACAGCACAGATAAGGCAGTCTGCTTCTGTAAAGATTTATAGCCTTGGAAACCCAATTGGGGTTGCTATGAGTCAGAACTGATTTGATAGCAGTGAGTTTGGGTTTTTTGGTTTGACTTTCTTAGGCCAAGGCAATTGAATTTGGGGGAAGACTCACTGGGCTGTGTAGGACCTCAGCTGGGCCTTCATCTGAAAGGTGGAGAAGGAAACAGCCTAGGCAATGCACAGAGGCATGGATATGCTATTGTCCAGCAGGAGGGATTGGCTGAAGGATGTTGTGACTGGGGATGGGAAAGGGGCTGAAAAGGTAGGCTGGGGCCTTTGGAACAGCTTTGAACACAAGGTTTCAGAATCTGCACTCTGTCCTGTAAGGAGCAAAATGCTATGGGATCTTAGAATAAGGTAAACTTAGAGCTGAAAGTGGTACAAATGAGTGGTACAAATGGTTAATGGGCTCAGGTGCTAACCTAAAAGTTGGTGATTTGAGTCCATCCAGAGGCACCTTGGAAGAAATGCCTGGGAATCTATTTCTGAAAAATAAGCCACCAAAAACCCTGTGGAACATGGTTATACTTTGATGCACATGGGGTCACCCTGAGTTGGAGTCCTCCCTATGGCAACTGGTATATATAGAGAGTAAACTTAAAAGCAAATTCAAGGTCATCCATACGAGAATCTCATCTGGCCTCTTCTTAAATACTTCCCTTGACTGAGAGCTCACTACCTCCCAAGGGAACTCTTCTTTTGATGAATAACCACCCCTGAGCTCGGCCATTTTTCCCCTTGTGTGGGCTGTTAATATGTATGAGTGGAAAGTTTACTTCATGATGCTTTGAGGTCATGAGAAGCTTGGCCCCCAGGGAAATAGATGTGACAGTTTCATTTGCTTGCAGCCCTCTTAGGACAGTTTAATCATAACCTGACACATCGAGGTTTACTTATTAAACATCAGAGACCCAGCCGTCAATACAGATAGGCTGAGTCTAAATTAGGACCTGAGCAGCCCGAGGAGTAACTCTCGGATCCTGTGATGTCTGATTTATCGCCCGCTGGCCTAATGAGTATTTTCCACATATAGATCTAATAGAGTTTGCTATTAATGGCAACTGCCCTGGTTAAGTCTCAAACCTTGTAAAAAATTGAACTGACACTTTCTAATGACTGGCTTTCCAATGAGTTACAAATTACAGACACTGCTTATACAGAATCATTAAACATAGATTAAATATAACCAGATGTTTTCTTTTCACCAAACTCCCCTCCTTCTACCACCCTTCTTTTTGCCTCACTCTTGATTCAGCTAAGAAGTCAACCAATTAATGTATGAGACTGATCACATTAGCAGCTCTGTGGGTGAATTTGTCAGCCTCATGTGTGTAAGAAAGACTTCAAAGATAGGACTGTCTTGTTAGGGAAGCTCAGGGTTGGTTTTGGGACTGGGGGTAAGAGGAGCTGACCTGATTCCTCACAGAGCGCCAGGGCAGGGTGGTGGGTTTCTAAAGCACACACACAACACACCCCAAAGGCAGAGGGGAGGCTGGGCCACCTGCTTTTCAGGAAGCTGAAGCAGTTGGAGCCCAGGCTGCAAGCGGGTGAGACCTGTGTCATCCTGAGAGCAGACATGCCTGGGAAGGAGCTAACGTTTCTGCCAGAGGAAGCTTAGGCCTCTAATCAGCCACCCTGCCCATAGCTGTTACCCTTGGTCTGAGGCCAGTGGGTGAGGTTATCATTCCTATTTCAAAGATGAGGGAAACACAGACTGAAAGGGGTGTTGTGATTGGCCCAATGGTTCTTAGCCAGTAAGTGGCAGACTGTCTTAGCTATGTCACCTTGGGCAAATTACTTAACCTCAGTTTCTCATCTGTAGAGTTAATAACAAGGAGTAATAATGAGAATATAAAATAATGAGAGGATTACAAGGTTACATGAAATCATATTTGTGAAACATTATGAACAGTGTTTGGTGCATATAAGTGCCATGCAAGTGTTTGTTGATACATAAGTAAACCTAGGACCCAAACTGAAGGCTTTGGACTGCAGAGCCTGGTCCACCACTCTGTCTTTCTTATTTATCCCAACTACTAATCATATGCAAGACTCTAAGAGCGCCACTCTGGTTGGAGGAGGCTGAAGATATGAGGCAGTGTGGAGTAAAGGACAGGTAGTGGAGGATAACCCAGTTAAGAAGGGTTAAGCACTGATCTCTTGGATCCAGACTCTCTTCTAGGACAACAGAGAGCCACCAAGGTTGTCTGAGTAGGACATGGGCGAGCTGTGCTTTAGAAGCTCAAACTGTAGGAAGCAAGTGGAGGAGAAATTGCAGGGGGAAATTAGAGGTAGGGACTTAATGACACTCAGACCTAGTCCTGGTGGTGCAGTGGTTAAGCACTTGGCTGCTAACTGAAAGGTTGGTGGTTCGAACCCTGCAGTTGTTCTACAGGAGAAATTATCTAGCTGCTGCAGCAAAGATCACAGCCCACGAAACTCTATGGGGCAGTTCCGCTTTGTCCTATAGGATCACCACGAGTCAGAATTGACTGAGAGGCATACAACAATAGTCCTAATTAACAACCAAACTTAGTCCTAAAGGAGTTTGCAGCTTGGTTGAAGAAATAAATCCTTCCTTCAGGAACCAAAGTGTGACCCCCTTTCCAGGAGGGGCTGTGACCAGAATCCTACACATAACTCAGGGAGCTCAGTGGAGGAGATGGCCAGCTTTCCATCTATTTCCATCTAAAGCTCAAAACTAGGTGAGCTTTCCTGAGGTAAGGCTGAGCTGCGGAATAGGTAGGATTTGGAGTGATAGAGGTGGACAGGGACAGACAGTCAGTATCCATCCTCTTAACAGTCTAACCACAGACATGCCACACTGTATTTGTCCCTCTCCTTCCAGCTGTAAACACTCTCTACCCTGTGGCTATAGAATCAGTGATGCTGACAGAGTTGTAGGAATGGAAAGCAGACAGGCTGCAGAGCAGTACAGGAAGCACTGGACTGAGAATCCAGACATGTGACTCCCAGCCTCACCACTTCTTATCTGTGAGACCCAAGTCAAGTGATCGTACTTCTATGGGCCTCAGTCTGTTCCTCTGTCAAAGGGGATTATAATAGAACCTTCTGCAAAGTGTGGGCACAAGAGGGACAATCAAGAAGGGTGATGGGGTGCTGAGGTGGGCAGTCCCCACCCAGATCCATGGCCCCAAGGGTGGTCATGGTTGTGGCCCGGGTACTTCTGGGGGTGCAGTAGTGAGTAAGGGTCTGGGGAGCACAGGTGGGAGGGCAGGTGCCAAGTTGCCTGTGCTTACAGTGTGTGCTGGAGGGCGCTTTGGGCAGGACTGTGCCCAGCTCTGCTCCTGTGCCAACAATGGGACCTGCAGCCCCATCGACGGCTCCTGCCAGTGCTTCCCTGGATGGATCGGCAAGGACTGCTCACAGAGTAAGCTGCTGCCCACGGGAAATGCCCCCCGCCAGAGGCCAGGCATTGAAACACCCCCTTCCTTGCCCAGAACCTATCTGCCCTTGGTGCCTCCAACTCTCAAGACTGAAATCTTTCACAGATGGGACTGTCTACCTGAGTCCCACTTAGCTCTTTGGCTAATATTATTAATTATTAGGATTAATCGTTAGCATTACTAACTGCTGGTATTAAAGGTACTGACATTGTTGATTGTCTCATTAATGTTATTAATACTGAGAATTAATACTCCATTAGCTCCATTAGGAGCAATCCCTGAGTGTGCACAGGATGGAGGAGGAGGAGGAAGAGAAGGGAGTGGCATGCTAGAGTTTGGGGTAGAAAGTGAGGTCAGGGCAGTCACCTGAGAGGTGAGGGTGCCCTCTGGGTGGCCTGTGAATGTCATCCTAGGCACCATAAGCCTGGACAGGGCATGCACCGATAGTGCCCTCTAGTGCCCCCGATCTGTTGGGTGAGGTAACAGCCCTTCTCAGGGAGCCCCATCTGAGGAGGGAGACAAAACCTCTGCCTGGTGGAGCACCTTTTCTGATGGGTAAGACTCAGTAGTACCCCTGAGGAGGTCCCAGTTAGATGGCCTGGCCTGAGGAATCTCCATTGTGACGTGGGAGGCACACACAGGCTCCTCCTCACAGTCTGTTGGAGGAGAATCTGCTCACGGGCTTTTCCTGACCTGGGAAAGTCCCTACCCTCAGTGGGGAAGTTAGCATTTACATACCATCTACCACAGTGTTTACACAGTTTACCACACACACCCACACATTCTAAATCCCAGACCCACCAGGAAATGAGGTTCAAGAGCCCTCAGAACAGTGCAGTTAGTCACCAAAGATCTACAGGTCAGGCAGTCTGGACTCAATGAGAATCTTGCGTGGCTTAGGAAATAGGTGACGGGAGAAATTCTGAGAACACTGTGGCAAGGCCCTGAACATCAGGAAATGCCACCCGGGTCCACCGTGGCATCCTGGGTCTGATGAGCACTCCCTCCCCATTTCCCCCTTTCCCTCTGCCCTCATCTTCGGTCTCCCCCCTCCCACTTCCAGCCTGCCCACCCGGGTTCTGGGGTCCCGCCTGCTTCCACACATGCAGCTGCCACAACGGGGCGAGCTGCAGCGCTGAGGATGGGGCCTGCCACTGCACCCCTGGCTGGACTGGACTCTTCTGCACGCAGCGTAAGCCCCGCCTCCTGGCCGCCCAGCCACTTGGAATCTTATGCTGCGGCCTGCTGGCCGCCGTGGGCATTGGCCTGGCCTGCAACGAGGGAGGGAAGGGGCCCCTCAGCCCCAGGATTGGGAGTGCTTGGCAGGGCAGCTCCAGGGACTGGCAGGAAGGTCAGGGCATTAGGGTACCCCAATGATCACCAAGTACAGACCCTCCTTGGACAGTGGGGCCCAGAGTGGGAAGGAGCAGGCTGTGGCTACATAGCAAGACCTCCGTCTGGCCTCTGATCCCAAGGCCCCTTTGCCTGAAGAATCACCCTGGCCCCCGACTCCTTCAGCTCTAGGAGGGTCCAGATTGTGGAGACAACTTCTGCGTACTCTTTCGCTAGTCCTCTTCATCCTGTGCTAAGATGGTGGCACAAGGACAGATTGAGTCCCAGCTGCACCTCTGCGGTTGTCCCCACCCTATAGCAACCGGTGACCAGAGGGTCCTGTTTCCCCAGGCTGCCCAGCAGCATTTTACGGGAAGGACTGTGGGCGTGTGTGTCAGTGTCAGAATGGTGCCAGCTGTGACCACATCAGCGGCAAGTGCGCCTGCCGCACGGGCTTTACTGGGCAGCACTGCGAGCAGAGTAAGCTGCCCCAACCCCTGCCCCTGGGTGTGGTGCTGGGCATCAGGCCCCTGGAGGGGCAATAGGTTGAAGAACACCTACACTGGTGTTTGAAAAGAATTTCTTTCTTCTTCCAGTTGGGGTGGGGGTGGAGGAAGGTGAGTCCAGCTGTGGGGTGAGGAGGGAGCAAGGGGAGGCAGGACCTTGCTTGATGCTTCTTCAAAGTTCCTATGGCACCCAGTTGAGGGCCTGGCACATGCATGCTGTGTAAAATGATGTGTCCAGTGGGGAGGAAGCAGTGGTGGGTGGGCCCTGCTCCTTCCCCTCACCCAGAGCTATGGGTACTCAGTCCACCTCCCAATATCGAACAGAATGGGAGCTACAGGAAAATAGCTTTCCCTCAGTGTGAAAAAAAACTGGCTGATCATCCCAGCTCTGAACATATGGAACAGGAGAGGTGCTAAGCTCCCTGTCCCTGTTGTTGGTGGAAAGTGACCTTAACTCTTGGTGCTACACAGGATGTGCCCCAGGAACCTTTGGCTACGGGTGTCAGCAACTATGTGAGTGCATGAACAATGCCACCTGTGATCATGTCACCGGCACCTGTTACTGCAGCCCTGGATTCAAAGGCATCAGGTGTGACCAAGGTAATATACAGATAGCAGAGTTCCCAAGCAGGAAACTCCGAATAGGTTATCTTTAGGAAGGAAGGGACCCCGTTAAGGCTCTAGAGAGGCCTCCAATTCAGAACAACTGGATTTTATAAGGATATTGTGATTCCCCTTTGTTCAAGTTTGGAAGGATAGGACAGTTGGGTGGGCTGCAGAGCAGAGGCAGAGAGGCTCTAAATGCCGAAGGGGAAAACAGAGCAGGCAGTCTCTTAGGTGACAGCTTCCCCCTGCTCATCGTTGCCAAATTTCCTGTGAGCTAAGCACGGATATCCACCAGACCAAGTGAGAATAGCTGTCAAGTTCTGGTTCTGCCACTATCTGCAAGGTGTCCTCAGGCAGGTCCTTTCCTTTCGCTGGGCCTATCGCTTCACATGCAAAATGGGAATAATAGATGAATCCTTGTCTTTCACATGTGGCAAGTTTCCTCCAGGGCCAAAAAGCCTTCAAGGGGCTCAACTTTGGCTTGAGCTCTACAGAGTACACTTGATAGTGAAGCTGTGAGGATCAAGTGAGATACTGTGAGTAAAGGACTTAGCACAGTTCCTGGCACTTGATAAATGGTAGTTTTGTGCACATAAAAACCCTCTGAATGTGCTGCAAACATGTAAGGGATTATATTGTTGTTGGTTCTAAGAGATGAGGGATGAGAATGTATTCTCAATTATCCTCGTTTCAGAAAAGGAGACAAAAGACTTCCATTGTGTTCTGAGGATATATGACAGAGAACAATGACATAGCACATTTACCTCCCTGGTGATGCTGGCTGGCTCTGTTCACCCTGAGCAGCCAAAGCCAATAGCCAAAGGGAGGCCTAGTGACTGCTGGTCTCCACACAAAGTCCCAGGATTACCTCACACACATCTAACCAAGAGGGGGTGTGGTGGGCACCATCTTGGCTACAATGTCACAGTACTCATGGCTTTCATTGTCTTTGGTACCAGTCTGTCATTTTAGTGCTCACAACCCTCGGGGCTGGTAGAATTGTTGTCCTCATGTTCCAGGGCTCTCTCAGTCACACAGGTGGTAAACAAGAAGAGCGGCTGAGTCTAAGTTTTTCAACTCCTGAGAAAGCTGACTCTGCCAATTACGCTATGTGATCTTGGACAAGTTACCTGGCCTTTTAGTGACTGTTTCCTCATCTATGATAGAGAAATAGTAGTCTCTATTTCACAGGGTTGCTGGGAAGGTTAAATGAGTTAATACCTATAACTCAATTTCAGAACAGAGCAAAACACTCAATATATTAACTTTAATTATTATTTTGTTTCACACCCACAATCATATTTGTTCTTGACCATGACCCTGGGCCTCCCTCCCCCTAGACAGCTGAGAAAACCCAGGCACAGAGTCAGGGTTACAGGACTGAAGAACAGGGCCAAGATCAGAACCCAGGTCTTCTAATGCTAGACAGGGTGGGCTCCAGGCCGAGGGGACCTGAAGAGCAAGTGAGCCTGGCCTAGGCTCAGGCTCTCCCTCCACCTGCAGCCGCCCTCATGATGGAGGAGCTGAATCCCTACACCAAGATCAGCCCAGCGCTGGGTGCAGAGCGGCACTCAGTGGGTGCTGTCACAGGCATCATCCTCCTGTTGTTCCTCATTGTGGTGCTGTTGGGCCTGTTTGCCTGGCGCCGGCGTAGACAGAAAGAAAAGGGCCGTGACTTGGCTCCCCGCGTCTCTTACACACCTGCCATGAGGATGACCAGCACTGATTACTCCCTCTCAGGTAAGGGCTATTCCCCCAGCATGACCCTCCCCCCACCCCACAACCCAGGAAGAGTCCCACAGTATCCTTGAGGACATCTTACTTTACTGTTAAAGGTGGAGGGTAGTGCCTCCAGGGTTGGCTACCAGGGCTAGGGGCTCAAACTCACCTCGAGACAATGGGATGGGGGAGCAGAAGCCTGCTTGGAGAGGTAGATGGGATCCTTGAGAGTATCATCTTCTGGGCCCCCAGCTTTGAGCAGCTGTGGTTGGGAGCCTCCTTCCATTTCTCCAGAGCTTCCCTATCCTTCCCACTAGGCTTCAGACACAGGGTCACCTTCATCAAGCAGTCACTTTCCTAAACTGCTCCAGGGGAACCCTTGCCCACCCTGATGCCAGTACCACTTCAGGAAGCAAGGCCTTGGAGCCCAGTGTCCAGGCCCTGTTCCATTTCTGCTTTCCTGCTGAAGGCCTCAGGGCAATCCTCTCCTCCCCAGTTCCAAGACACAAACCATTCTCTGAGTTGTTGTTGTTGTTGTTGTTTGCCGTCGAGTCGGCCCTGACTCATAGCGACCCCTCCTTGGGTTCCCGAGGCAGTATCACTACGGAAGTAGGATTGCCCAACCTTCCTTCCGAGGAGTGGCTGGTGGGTTTGAACCGCCAGCCTTCTGGTGAGCAGTCAAGTGCCTTAGCCACTATGCTACCAGAGCTCCTATTCTCTGAGTTAGGAGGAACTTATTAGTACAGTGGGAGGGGCTGTTGCCTGACCTGGGAGGAGGCTTAAAAGTTTGGGCAGTGTCCCTCTGGCTAGGCCTGTTGGCACCCTGTCTGTCCATTAATGCGGTAACAACTTCAATGGGCATTCTATCTGGGAGTCTGAGTGGTTAGGGTGGGGCGACTGGGCTGAGTACTTCCTCTCCCTTGAGCCTTGCTTTGCTTCAGATTTAGCTAAAGAGTAGGGTCCAAATCCTCTGAAACTGCCCACAGCCTGCTCTCTTTGAACACCTTACCAGCAGAGACATCATGGAAGGCTGGGACTGTCCAGCCAAGCACAAGGATCAGTCTTTCCACCTGGCTTGTGGCTGACCTGCAGCCTTCTGTACCTTGTGCTTAGAAAACCCAGATCAATTTGGGCCACTCCTACTAAGTGCTGCCTATTGTGGGCCCAGTTCCATGGTATGTACCATAGGATACATGGGAGAGGTCCAGGTACAGACCCTGCCTTCAAAGAGTTCCTGACCTACATGTCTCCTAGGGTTTCAGCCAAAGCATGCATCCTCCATGAAATCCCAAGTCCACAGAGATTTGAGGATTTTAGTGTATGACTGTGCAATTAACAAGGTCAAGGTGGCTGGGTTTTCCCATGTCATTCCTCTGGAATTTCCTGGCCTTGTGAAAAAAGCCTGGAATCCTCAGAAAGGCTAGAAGGGCAGGCTGGAGTCGATGTCCCAAGGCCAAGAGAAGCAGGCTTTCCCTTTATGGACTCACTGCTGGGATCTGACCCTGGGGGGAAGCAGGGGAGGGCCAATCTAGCTCTAAGTAGAGACTGGGCCATCACAGCCAATACTCCTTATCCATGCTCCAGCTACTGGTACCACCCACACCATACTGGCCAGCCGACCCTGCATTCTGCATGCTACAGGATGGCAGGAGGAAGGAACAAATCAGGTTCTGTGATTTCTGTGGGGTAGTAGGTAGGGACTTGGAGGGGGCAGCAAGCTGTCTCTCTTTGCAGGGCACTCTCAAGGTTGCCCAGCCCAAGCATACGCATTGGGGTATCTCATGCCAGGGGCAGGGGTGTGATGGTATGTGGCACCTTGTTCTCTTCCCAGATTTGTCTCAAAGTAGCAGCCATGCCCAGTGCTTTTCCAATTCCAGCTACCATGCACTGGCGTGCGGGGGGCCTGCCACCAGCCAGGCCAGCACTCTGGACAGGAACAGCCCCACCAAGGTACCGGGCCCCAAACTCCTCAGCCCTCATCCATTGTCCCCTTGTTTAATCTCTATCTCTGCCCGGGAAGAAGCTGTACCTACTACATGGAGGATCTATGTGGCATCAATTGGTTTAGACCCCGCAATCCACAGTAAATGGTAACACTCTGTGATGCAGTTACGGGAAGCCAGCATATTACATGGAGCCAACATGGTCAGAATCACATGTAACCAACATGTAGCACCAATCAATATAAAATATGCTCCCCATACCCTGTATATAACCAACAGGTTACCAAGTCATGTAATCATCATGCGTAACTTTCTTATCACATATAACCCTGTAGACCATACAGCCATTTTTGCCACATATTGCTAACACATTACATGTAATCAAAATACTAACCACCTATCACCGATCACTGCAGTTACCAACATACTGTGTGCAACTGCCACATGATAGCATAACCACTTGCTCAGGTGAGCACACAATGTTCCTTGTGTTAGGACATATCATATGTCATTAACACATCACTCGTAACCATTTGTTGTGATCTGAACCAACACGAGTCATGGAACCCAAACATCAGCTTTAGCAGTTTCCTCATTAACAATGAGTCCTGCAGGTCCTACAGCAGGTGGGTGCCACCCTGGGCAGAGCCTTCCCTGACAGCTCCCAGCCTAACTCTGGTGAATGGCAACACATGCTCTTATAGTCACAGGCCCTTGGGCAAAGATGTCTCAGCATACATGTAGATAATGTGTAGGGAGCCTCCATGATGTGCTAGGACCTATGCTGGGCACAGTGGGAGACTCAGAAATGAGTAAGTACAGCCTCAAGGACCACAGATTCTTATGGGCTCACACTGCACCCCTCAACACCCATCTGTGTACACACACACACACTCTCTCTCTCTCTTCTTGAAGGACAATCACAGGGCTCTCAGCTTCCTGTAACATGGGCCAGGAGCATAGCTCTTATACTTCAGGCCTCTGCTATGGAGCTCTGGGAATCCTTTCCTCCCTGTCTATCCCACTGAGAATGTCCATCAATCCAAGTCCATGCCCTCTGCCACACACAAGGCGGCACTGCAGCATGAACCCCAGCAACATAGGACTCTGTACAGCCCGAAGGGCAACCACTTTCAGGGTTGCTCCTTCAGGGGCTCTCAGTCTCCATACCTGTTAAACAGGGAGTATTGCACATAAGGAGCCTTGAGGCCCAGATGCAGTCTCTGCCCATTAGCCTCATACACAGCCTGTAGCTTTGGCCACTCTTCCTGTGTAGTTCCCCATTCCCAGCTTCAGCTTCAGGCTTGTCTGAGGAGCTAGAAGTGGAGGGAAGGAGTCTAGAGTTTCCCAGTAGGAGACCTTTGATTAACTGGAGTCACATTATCAGAACTTCAGCAGAATAAAGGCAAAGGGTGCCAGGTGAGAAAGGCAAAAGCCCCTATGATCATGTCACTCTCAGTCTCATTCTAACAGGGAAGCACTAGCCACCTCTTTCAGTAGGGGCCCAAGTTACTGGTGACCCTCTGGTCATGGGCTCCTCAGTCTGGCAGATCTGTAGCAAAGGCAGGCAACTGTGATGACATGAAAAGGGCACAGGTCTGGTAGTTGAGATCTGAGTTCTAGACCCAGTTCTGCCACTGACTCCATGTGTGACCAGGAACAAGACCCAGAAGCCAGGACTCAGTCCCCATCTGTGAATGAGGATAAACCATCCTTGCCTAAGATAAAGGGCAGCTGTGAGAATCCAGAGAAAGAAAGGATTGTACCATAACCCTCAAAACACCCTGCCCAGAAGCTTTCCCTGGGTCCCATGAAAAGTAGATTCTCACAGTCCACATAGGTCAGGTGGCAGAGGTGACAGTGATATTGCACGCAGCCTCAGAATCTCCCTGTGCTGGAGACAGCATCATGCTGCAGCTAAGGCACTGCCAGAGCCCCCACTCCTGTGGCTCAGCCCCAACCTCTCTAAGATTCCAGCTCAGCCCTGCCCAGCTAACCTACTTCCCATTAGGGCCAGTTTGGCTCAGGGCAGTTATTGGCTCATGGGGGGCCCTGCCCTCCTTTACCCCAAGAGGCCTGAGAACCCTATAACTTCAGCCACACAGCTTGTATGGGGAAATCCTCTATTCCCAGTGGCCTCAGCCACACCATGGTGGCCTATGCAATACCTGGCTTTCTCCTAGCTTAATGGTCTAGGACTTGAGTGAGTGAGGCTCATCACAAGGAAGGGTACACTGAGGCTGGCAGAACAAAAGCTGGGGAGGGGCACCTCACGGGCACTAGGTATTAACTGGCTCTCCTACTCTCCAAACAGCTCAGTAACAAGTCCCTTGACAGAGACACAGCAGGCTGGACCCCCTACAGCTATGTGAACGTGTTAGGTCAGTAGTGGTTTGAGTTTGGTCTCCTGCCATCATGTCTCACCCTGTACTCCTCCCCACATTGACAGGCGACCTGTCCCAGCTCAAAGGGAGAGAGTTGGTAGTTGTGTCTTGAGCAGGGTTTTCCCCCAGGGAGGAGGGGTGTGGGAACGAGATCCAAGCCACTATTTCAGCTCTTGTAAGCAAATGAAGCCCAAGACCCTCTTCATTCCTGTATTGTGTGAGAGGGTGGCTGTGACGCAGGTGGACAGCTGGGCCAAGATATGGAGATTCCAGGTGGAGGCAAAAGGTGCACTCACCATCTGGCAAAAGGCTCTCTCTCTGACCCAGCTTCTACCAAGGTACCCCTGCTCTAGAAAGTAGCCATTCCTTTTGGGGGTGGGAGGTGGAGAAACAAAGCAGATGGCCTCAGCTCTAGCAGATCCCCCGGCCATCCTGGCCCTGGCTCTTTGGGTGCTACACATAGAGGCCGTGATCTCCTTCCAGCCTATCCCACCCTGACCTTCATCTCTTTGTGTACTTCCCACCCCCTTTCCCTGCCACACCAGGGCCCTGGGAATAATGGCTCCTCCCTGTCATTCCTCTCACTAGACTCCCATTTCCAGATCAGTGCCCTGGAGGCCAGGTACCCGCCCGAGGACTTCTACATTGAACTTAGACACCTCAGTCGTCCCGCTGAGCCACACTCACCAGGTCAGACTCTCAGCCCTACCCTCCACCCCGAGCCCCTGAAGCTATCATACTAGGTGAGACCCAGCACCTGCCCTGCTCCCTACCCACCCCACCCCTGGGTTCCCAGAGCTGTCCTCCCTCCCAACATTAGTCTCCAAGTCCAATCCCCTATCTGAAGGAAGCCTATTTGGATCTTCCCCATAACTCCTGCTCCCATGATGGTCAGTGTTTATGGACAAACTGTGGCTGGTATTAAGTGGAAGGGACACAATACAATCATACTTTTTACAAGCCACAGAATACAACCCAAAAACATTGAGAAATGACTTGGAGATGGTGATATTTTTGGTGTTCTCTGGGCCGCTGGCCTCTGTCGGTGTGGATAATGCAGAATTGACTTTTTGGCTAAAGAGCATTAGCACCCCAGCGAGACTCCAGACCCACCAGAGCCAGACCAAGCTTTCCCAGCTCATGGAGCAGGGGCAGGAGTTGTCCTGCAGGACTCTGGAGAGGCTGGGGCACAATGTGTGACTTCCTGGCCAATATCCTCTGTGCTCCTGTATTAGCGTCAAACCTGGTGACTTGGGAGAGGTGTAAAAATGAGACTTGGAAAGTCATTCCTGACATGGGAGCCTGTGGGTGATAGTTACAGAAACAGGTGCCATAAGAGCGAGTACAATGAATGAACAGGGAATGTGGCATCTCTATGAAGTAGCCCCTCTAGGTACCAGGGCAGTGCATTAGCATGCTGGGCAGCTCTGGCTGCCATACTTAGCACACTGGGCATGAGTTCAGACTAGCTGGTTTTCTAGGACTCAAGGGAAATGCAGCTCTACCAACCCCTGCAGGTCCCTAGGTCCAGCAGCACTAGAAAAGGTAAAGGTTCTGAATTCATCTGCCCCTCGGGCAGGCATAGGCTGCAAAGACTGCGGACAAATACCCAGGAAGCTGTGTTATCAGCTCTGGATGCCCTGGCCAGTGTCCAAGGCACTCAATAACACCACCTCACCATCACTCTGTATCTCTTCCACACGGAGATCCTCTGGGTTCAACCCAAAGACTGCTCCCTGCTTTGCAGAATTCAAAGCAGATGCGACTCTTCAATTGGGATAGCTAGAGCTACCACAGTCATTTTTTGGCTTTTCCCCAGGTGGGCTGGTGGCCAATGGGAGTGAATATTTGAGGAGATCTGGGCTCTATCTAGTCACAACTCAGCTTTCTCACTTTCTGGTGTGGCCTTGGGCCCTCTTTGGGCCTCTGTTTTCTGTTCTGTGAAAATGGAGAAAAGTTAACAGTCAAGCCTCCCTCCCTCAGAGAGGACAGAGGAAACACTTGTTATAAAGTGCTGAACAGATGCCAGGAATATGGATTGTTGCAGTTATGTTTCTGAATGGCACACGTATCTATAGGCCCTTTAGAGTAACAACAAACTTGAAAAGAACTTGGACCTGGTTCAGCAGTATCACTCAGTAATGTATAGAAGGCAGACAGACAGAACTAATTCAATTTGCAAGACTTCTGCAAATTCAACTTGGGCACTCTATGTGGTAGGATACATGGAGGTTCTTAAACAATGGGTTTATCTTCAGTGTCAGAAACTTTGAGGAGAGTCAATGAGGTCAATCTATATTTTATTAAGTATGTTTTACACACCTAGCCTGGTACTATGTTCCCAGTTGAAAGGTAAATTAAAATGGCTTTAACTCTGAGCCAGAATCATTACTGTCTCAACATAGAAATGCCCAACAATTTCTTTTCTGAGATGGCCAGTAGCAAAGAACCTAAGTTTGGTCTCTGAAGCTTTATGTCCTGCCTCCAGCTGATGGTCAACACAAAGCACTGTGGGAACCTAGGATAAAATGTGACAGCCACAAAAGGGAGAAAGAAATCCCTGTGGCTGAAAAACATTGACAACACTTTTCAAAGACACTCTCAATTATGTGCAAGTGGTTCATTCATAAAAATGGGCAACTAAGAAAGCTGGCTGTGGATGGGAGTGACTTTACATCCTGTAAAGATGACTCATCAAGAACCTCAGCAACCTGTCCTCCTTGCTCTCTGGCCTCCCTCAGTTGATCCAGGAGAGGAGAGGCAGGACCAGAGCTGGGAGAGGTGAGGAAAACTTGTCTCCAACCCCATTCCAAAATCAAACAGAACTGGGGGTTGGAATGCATACCTCCTTCCTCTCCTACTGCAAGTTAGGGACTAGTTCTGATTCACTTCTCATTCTATACCTTTGGAGCCTGGAATTTCACCTACAGTGACTGCAGGTGGCATCAGAACTGCCTTTTGTTATTTCCTGGAAGACGTTCCCTCAGGGCTGAAGGTTAAAGAGGAGGAGTGCTAAATATACCATGGAGTGCTATAGCTCACCGTTAATGTTTGGGAGCCCTTCAAGAATCCCTATAGCTCAGATTAAACCCAGAGCAATGTACCAATAAATACCTATTTTCTGGGTAGTGGAAAGAAAAAGAACATATGCAGTCCAAGTAAACCTCACTCACTCCATACTATTCTTTCCTTATCCTGTTTTTATGCAGGTGCTTGTGGAATGGATAGACGTCAAAACACATACATTATGGACAAAGGCTTCAAAGGTAGAGTATCCAATCCTAATGTCCCATTAGAAAGGGCTTATTAGCAAGATAAAGAGTGCAAATCTTAAATGGCCAGGAATTCCACCTCAGAGAAACTACACATCTTCTCCTCACCCCACTCCCACACACAAAAAGTTAAAGGACGAGAGGATCTGGGACTGCTGGGTAGCTCTGCCCAGGAGGAACAATCATAATAATAATGATTTTTGTCTTCCGATTTCAGTTGCACCTGCTTAGCAAATGCTTGTGGGTTTCTTTTATAGATGCCAACTAAATGTCTCCAGAAATGTAGAACGTCATTATCCAACCAATTAGCACAAGTTAATTGATTATAAAATCTGAAATAAAGTCAATCTACCTGCCCCCAGAGGCCTCCTGTCGTTGTGCTGGGGAGGAACACCACCCTGTACCTGCTGGCTTTCTGGAGCACAAGGAATGAAAATGATAACCAGTGTTAATATTGTTTGGCACTCCACCCTCTGGAGATCTCTGTCCAAGAGCAGGAAGCCAGAACTAATCCCGAACACATGGGAGCTGTCAGTCAGATCATCCCTCTAGGAAGTCTACATGTGAAGCCAAAGATGAGAGGTCAGGAACTGTCTCTGCATTTAGGCCCCAGGATTAAATGACAGGCTGTGTGAAATAGGCAGCTTTGGAACAACACAAACCTGGGTTATATCCCTGCTCTGTCACTTATTAACTGTGACTGAAGACTGAGATCCCCAGGGCTGTTTCCTCATCTGCAAGATTGGGATAATAATGCCTATCCTATTGTCCAACAAGGTTATTTGACTATCCAATAAAATCAAAGATTGAAAGTGTTTTCACATATTGTAAAGGATTGTACAAATGTAATGGGGCTGTCTTTTTGTCTCTAGGGTCTATTTAAAAGAGTCTCAGTCAAGCTGAAAGTGAGATGACTGACCAGCAAAGGTCTCAATGGATACCTTAAAACTGGCTGTGCAGCAGGATCATCTGGCAAGCTAATTAAAAATACAGTTTCAGACCCTATCTCCCAGAGATACTAAGGCAGTAGAGCTAGAGCCAGGCCCTGGAATCTCCATTTGTGCTGAGTACATCAGGTTATTCTTATGCAACATTACCGCCCAACTAGCATTTAGAAATGGTTGGAAAAAACGAACCCAGATTTCCTAGATAACTGTTCTGGTCTTTAAGTTCTAGCCTTAGATACTCACACCTGAAATGCAACCATTTCCTAACCAGGGAGAACTAGCTGTCTATAGCTCTTAGTGGAGTGGTTATTAAAAGAGGGTGAACTATGGGTGGGTGGTGGTGGTGAGTACTTAATTCTGACTCAGAGGGCAGTAAGGGGGAGTAAATCCCAATCAGCACTTGTTAGGATGTGCAAGGCCCAGGAGAACTGTCTAAGGATAAGAGGTCACCACTAGGTTCCCAGCCAGCCAAAGGACACTGCTCCCTTGGGAGCTTACATTTTTTGTGAGTTTGCCTTAAACCATGCAAATGGGGGTACAAACAAGAATCATTACAGTACGTAAAGCAAAAAAACAGAAAGGACAGCTCTGTCATTTAATTACCATGACCTGAGATCTGAGTTTTCTTTCTTGAAGAAGTAAGGAGATAGAGCAAAAAGATCTCCAGGGACCCTTCCAAACTCTGAGAATATGCATGACGCAAGCGTGAATAAGCTGAGGTAGGCCCAGACATCTCAATAAATGAGCACACAACTTTCTTATGCACTTTGTTGTCTGTACACTGTCATTAGGATAGCTACTTTCAGACTCCTGACCTGTAATGTTAAGACAAAACTAAGGAAAGCAGTGTTTCTACCTGCATGTCATTTCATTCCTGTTTGGTAGGATCACATATATGAGAATCTGAGAGCAGGGAGAGCCTTAACAGGTAGCAGCCAGATTTTGTTTCACAACTTTGACTAAATGCTTTATTAGAAAAAAGAAGAGAGAAGTAGTGTGGGCAAATGTAACAGCAGATCTTAGGTACCAGTGCATCAGAACAAGAGAATTCAAAGAGAGAAAAATGGTATGTCACAGTTCAGAACTTTACAGAAATACCAATCAAGGACAGAGAACAAGCCCATTAATTTGCTGAACCCTCAAAGAAACAGTGAATAAACTAGTTTGTATCAAGAATGAAACTAATTCCTAAAACTACTGGACCAAAACCATATCAGAACTGCTAAGAGTTAACAGTCTAAGTGTTCTCTAAACTCAATGGGAAAAAGCCCTGGCCTGGTCACAGCATTGTTTTCTGGATCTTGGTTTCTTTCTCTATAGAAGGAGAGAGTTGCACTGGCACCATCTCTAAGGCCTTTTCCAGCTCTGAGATTCTAAAAGCCTTAATTTAATTCAGTCACTGCCTCCTCTTTTCCCCACTCAATGTCATCCTGGAGGTTGAGTGAGATTACTTACACTGCTGTGCTAACCCCACTTTACCTCTCAACACCCACCATCTCCTATTCCTCTCCCCCTCAGTACACTGATTCTGCAACACACTGCCCAAGTTCCATTCCTTATCTATTAGGCAGTTCAAAGTGCTGCAGAAGTCCTCCCCACTACTCTCCATCACCTGCAAGCCTTGACCCCACTGTTGCTGCCACCTTCCCCACCTGTATGCTCCTTGCTCTCTAATCTCCAAGTTTCTCCTCACAATAACCTTGGGTTCTAAGGTAGTTAGGAGCCCAATGACATTCTCAAAATGCTTCCTCCCCTCCCCCCCAGCCAGCCTGGTTCTCCTTCTGACCCTGAAATCTACTCCTCCTGTTCCCAATATCCTTGCTGCTTCCTTTCTAAAAGGAATATATTTCAATTAGCTTGTTTCAGAGGTGACTTCAGTCTATAAAGAGTAGCCCTGGTAGTGGTTAAGCAAAGAGTAGCCCTGGTAGTGGTCAGCTGCTAACCAAAAGGTTGGCAGTTCAAACTCACCAGCTGCTCTGCAGGAGAAAGATGTGGCAGTCTGCTTCTGTAAATATTTACAGCCTTAAAAACCCTATGAGGCAGTTCTACTTTGTCCCATAGGGTCGCTATGGGTTGGCATCAACTCGACTGCCACGGGTTGTCTCTGACCAGTATATGACTGTCTGTTATCTTTGGTAAGTAGGAACTAGATGAAAGTAAATGCCAGGGCATTATAAGACTAAGTCTTCAGTCCTAATGCTAATTACAGGTATAGAATCTTGGAAGAGTGACTCCCTAGAGCTTGGATACACTTCATGCTTCCCATTTCTTTGCAAAATGCCCTCAAGTTCAGTGACTGGGGTGTGGGTGGAACCACAAAAGGATGAGGAAGTGTCTGAGCAGCTGGTTATTCTATCCCCACCCCATCCTCCCTCAGTATGGGCACAGCTGGGGAAAAAGTGGCTTCCTAAGGTATCTTCCAACTTGCCTTGTCCTTCCCCACCACTAGTTACCAGTAGAGAAGGAACCCATCAGATCATTCCATAATTCAACATTCCCCCCGCCGCCATTTACCGAATCCCTTCCCCCAAATCTCAACTTCTCTTTTATCCTTCTAGGTTCATCCCCCTCTACTGCAGAGCAGGACAAACAATATATTCCCCAAAACTTGACAATAGCCTTGCCTTTTCTGATGAAAATGAGAGGTACTATTGGCTAGCTAAGGCTCTGACAGGCATTGATCTTCAAGGCTTCCCCATCGCCATAACTGAGTTAGTCATGGGATATCCACAAAAAGCTTACCCCATAGATAAAAGGTATTCCTTGTTGAGGGTAAGGTAAAGCTGCCGCAGATTTAATTTGCATTTAGAGATACAGGGCAGGAGCACTGGGTAGCAGGATGTTGTGGGGAAGGCACTTTGGGTATTAGAGCAAACAAGGGTTGAGTCCTAACTACTTACTAACACTGGGCACTGTTATTAACAAACTCTCAGAACTTCCATTTCTAAATAATAATACTCCTCCTTCCTGCCCAGCCCCCTTCAAAGATGTAAGAAATTTCAAATGACCTAACTGTAGTGAAGACTAGCTTGTAAGCGCTACATAGATTGAGCTATATCACTAGCTATTCTCAAATTTTAGAAAGTACTCATCTAAGGCAGCTGCCAAGTATAAAGTAAAAGGATGTGCATCTGGGTGTAAAAAGGAAGGGGTGTTATGAGGGCTTTGCACTCAGGAGATGTTACTTAAGTAATACTAGTCCTTAGCTTCTAAGGAGCTCTGGTGGCATAGTGCCTAAGGCATCTGACTCCTAACCCAAAGGCTGGTGGTTCAAACCCACCAGCCACTCCTTGGAAGGAAGATTAGGCAATCTACTTTCATAGTGACAGCATCTCAGAAACCCAAGGAGGGGTCACTATGAGTTAAATCGACTTGAAGGCAATGGGTTTGGTTTTGGTTTTAGTCCTCAGCTTCCAAACAAGCTCTGAGCAGTACTACCTACTCACCAGCTGGTGAGTTCAGAGAATCCAAAGTGGGACAAATGAGCCATGTTGAGGTTTCTGGGCTTATCCCCTACTTCTCTGTACTAAGACACAAAGTACCCACTGAGAGGCTGATTTCTATGGCATGGGGCAGGCCATGCCCAGCCACTTTACCCATGTGAGTCTCAACAGGCAGCTGGACTTATCTTGCCTCCCTTTAGTGCTTGCTAGGGCTAGCTGGGACTGCTCATTAGCAAAACTTTTCTCCTCTTCCTCTCTAGGGTCCTATACTATTAAAAGGCCATAATCTAAGATAAGAGAAAAGCCTACATCCCTATCGACTGGTGGGCTAAATTGTGATGGGAAGTGCTCTGAACCTGGTTCTAGAGCTCAGCTGCGTTCCTGATAAGCAGTGTGACTCTGGGGAAGTCACTTCCCCACACTAAGCCTCAATTGATAAGCAATAAGGGATGTGTATGTGAAAGGGGGAGGTGAGGAATAATAATAATAATTGCTCTACCTACATCACAGTGTATTGTGAACACTCGAAGAAACTAATAGATGAATATACTTTTGTACAAGATTGAGGAACTATTACCTCAATAACCTAAAGCAACCATCAATAACTTACATTAACAGAAAAGTAAATTCCCTCCAAAGCACAATGACCTGTTATCAAAGACTATTTGTGGTGGCACACATCTCAGCTTCTCTGGCCACAGGAATGTTCTTTCACTGGCCCAAAGTACCTAACACCCCTCAAGTTACATTATCACTTCCACTTTTTTACATTTCATTAACATGTTTTAAACAGAGCACAAAGTTGTTATACATGTAACAGAAGCAAGCCACCTCAGAGGATACATTTCAGGGTTGCTAGAAAACAGGAACTTTTCAAAGGCCTAGCTTGTGACTGAGGTTTTTTACACCTGTTACACTTTGTTCTGCCCTACTCCAATCACCAGCTTCTGGAGGGCAGGGATGCTCCTAGAGTTTGGCACCTAAAAGTAGCCAAATACATGAGCGCTAAAACACACACGCCTACTTATTCGGAACCTGAGTTTGTCATCAGAAGTAATTCTGAAGAAGAGTATCACAGAAAAAGCACAGTCCCAAGGCAGGGATTCAAGTTTTGACATTGCTGTTTACTAGCTAGGTTACTTCATCTCTTGGGTCTTCATCTCATAAAATGGTTAACTACAAACTATCTTTGCAGGATATTGTAAAACATTAAATAAAACAGATGTAAAGCATGTTATAAATATTTTGAATTAATGTCTTTTTGGTGTTATACATCATTACTCAAAAGAAAAATCTTTATCCCCCCAAAATATGTTTCTTTGGAAAAAGAACTCTGCCTACCTAAAAAAGCATGCCTCAACCAGCAAATCTTGGATTATCATAGCTTTTACAGCTCCAGAATTCTGAAGGTTCATAAACTCGACAGCAGTCTCCTCTTCTGATATTTAATTGAAGACGTATGTCTTGCCTGTCCTAAGAAATCTCTCTTGCTTTGCAGATTACATGAAAGAATCCGTGTGCAGTTCTAGCACTTGTTCCCTGAATAGCAGCGAAAACCCTTACGCCACAATTAAGGACCCACCCATCCTCACCTGCAAGCTTCCAGAAAGCAGCTATGTAGAAATGAAGTCGCCTGTGCACAGGGTGTCTCCGTACACAGATGTGCCATCCTTGTCGACATCTAATAAAAATATATATGAAGTTGGTAGGTGTCTCAAATAAGTAACTTAGTGAAAATCAGGGCAGTAGTGCAGCATCTGAAGTGAAAACAAGCCCTTCCCACTCACCCTGTCTTGAAAACACATCCTTCTTTTGTTGCTTTTTAAAGAATCCAAGGTGAACTGTCTTTCCTAGGACTGTCCTCTCCTTTCAATGCAGGAAATAAAATTCTTGTGCCAACCCAGCTTTAAAAACACCAGGACTAGCATGAAGCAGAAATGCTGGCGGTAGAGGGTGGGTCCACACCCACATTTCAACTGATTGCTGACAACAAATTCTAGTTTAGAAAACAACCAGAACAAACATTTGCAAATTTCTAAATCACCCTCTTCTATCTTTTCCTGGTTTGACCTATGTCCCTGGGCTCACTGACTAGACATTTCACTCTAGGATATTCTAAATCTCTCGGTGGTGACAAGAGCTTGAGATTCTGACAGCACATTCACTTAGATTTTCCATCTCCTAAGCCACAGTCATAACCTTCTTTATTTGCCATAAATTTGTAAACTCCTTGCTTCTCTCCCCACCAAGTTAATAGAACTCTCTTCCCCAGAATGAGGCAACCAAAGCTAATCTGTTCTCTGAACTCATTTTTCACTATATTCCTCAGAGCCCACAGTCAATGGGGTCCAAGAAAGCCACGATCATAACTCCAGCTATATCCAGAATCCATACAACCTACCTAAGAACAGCCACATTCCTGGTCATTATGACCTCCTCCCAGTAAGACAGAGTCCTGCCAATGGGCCCTTCCAGGACAAGCAGTCTTAAGAGGGATAAGAGTCTCTCTTGCAATGTACTCTGCTGAATATTCTGATTCTCTGAACGACAATCCTTTGACTTGAAATAATGGTACATACTCCAGCTGCATGTTAGTTACTACTTTTACCTGGAATTAAAGAAGAGTTTCCAAGTGGGATTGGGGTAATTATTCAAAGATGTCTGTTCAAAGACAAACCTATTACCTACCAACCTCAAACCCCAGGTGCCCTGTATTATATAATTTTAAAAACATTTAAGATACAACTATTCATCAACATCAGCTAAATATATATATGCATATATGTATTTTATATATATATATATATATAAATACAATTATCTGGAACATGATAATATGATGCTTAGAAAGCATGTAGAATAGGTTTTACAAACCTTCCTAGGGGGACTGGGGACTGGGGAGGGGAGAGAATTACCTTAAAGTACCTGAAATGTATTATGTACTTTGGTTGCTGTTACCATCAACATGTTTTATTACCTAAGATAATCAATACATAGACACAAACTATGTTAATATCAATACTTAAAGTACCTGTGCATTCATGTCTTGGTCCATCAAACTACAATGGCCAAAATTACAGAGTTTAGCATACAGTCTAATACTGACAACTTCAATTTTAAAAAATAAGACTTTAATAAATATCAATTAACATTTTCTTTTCTCCCCCATTTTGGTAATAGGCCAAAAATAAATAAACTTTCCAAAGCAGCAGCCTCTTTCCATCTACAATAATGATTTCTGGGCCAGCTTTACCAAATCTTGCCAATTCAAAGGCCAAGAACATTACAAGTCAGTCTTGGCATTTAGTCCATCCAATACCTGAGTCACTCCGTATAAAATAGGGCTCTGAGACGATGCTTTGAGTTAATCATAGACTGATAAGAATTAAGGATCAAAGAGCTACTTGGCCTCCCCAATTTATTTAGGTGGCATTCCTTGACTCAGAAGAGTCCTTGCTTTCAGGCAGTTCATAAAATCTTGAGCTTGATGTAGTATGGAACCTGAAAGTGTAGAGGAAATAAGACAAATACGGATATAGCAAGTTTAAATTGCTTAAAGTATATTATGCTTTTTGATAGAACTAACTGAAATTATCAAAGAAAGAATGGACTGTAACCACTTGTTGTAACGTGATGTAGAAACTTAATACTAAATAGCATCTAAGGATATCAAGTGCTTCTTACACAACCTTAAAATCACCTCCTACTGATGGTCAAAAATATATCACAATACATTAATGCTTCAGATCCCAGTATTCAGATGTGTCTATACTTTCCACTATTGACAAACACAGGTAAGCTGAGGCTCAGATCAATTGAATTGAAGTCAACTCCCAAGTCCTAACGAGGACCCCCTCACAAAAATTAGACTAAAAGAAAGGCAAACCTAGGAATCTAGTGACCACTCCTGCACCACTCCATTCTCTGATACCAGTCCAGCCAGTAAAAAGTACTTCCAAAATGGTATACAAGAGGAACTAAACAACTGCAAAGCTAGGGTACAGAAGTACAGGCATTCTGAAGCCATTGGGACAAATCAGAAGTCTGCCGTGGAATCCATTAGTTTGGGCCAAACCCGACCCAACCCACTGATAGCAACCCTGCAGGGCAGAGTAGAACTACCCACAGTTTCCAAGGCTGCAAATCTTTACAGAAGCACACTGCCTCATCTTTTTCCCATGGAGCAGCTGGTAGGTTTGAACTGCAGACCTTTTGGTTAGCAATGGAGTGCTTTAACCATTGGGCAAGTGCTTTTAGTTTGGGCAGTAACCAACAAAAGCAAGGAAATAAAAAAATGAGTAAATCCCTCCTCCTGCCCACTTCACCCAAGACTTGAGGAAATCTCATTGTTAGGGGAAAATATATAATACTTAACATGAATGCTGCATGCGTGCATGGGAGCAAGTGATCAGCAATAGCAAATTTACTTTCCACAAAAGCCTTATTAAAATATAAATACTAGCAAATTACTTTGTAGACCCAAGTAAATAGTTCACATACATATGTAAGAAAGAAATATAGATAAAGACTTACCTCAGTATTTCAGAGCAACCAGTGCTCAATTATGAAGCAAGGATTAAGAAGCATGGTGAAGTCAGATCACAAGGAGAAACTTCCATCTCAATTCCAGGTTTTATCTTCTTCCCTTATCCTGCATGTACAATTAACTGCTACCTGGCAGACTGCAAACAGGCAGCATCACTCAAGTTTCACCTCTGTTTTGCCAACCATGCTCTGGGCAAAGGTATTCAGAAGAGGTAGCATGGAAGAATAGCTAGAGTACAGGGTAAAGAGATTTGGTTGTTACTGTGGGCAAGTTATTTGCCCCCCTGGGTTCTTTCCCCCCCATATATTAAAGGGAGAAGCAGCGAGGGGGAAGGGAACTCTTAACAGGTCTTCAGCTCTAGCATTCTGTGATTTTTGAAGAATTGTAATACTGCTCAAATCAGGCAACACAGAGAAGGGAAGGTAGAGGGGGTGAGTAATCTATGATGACAACAGCTGCCTTCACTTATCTTAGAGTTACCTATAAAAGATATTTCAATATTACAGAGGAACTATTAGGAACTTCTTATTAGCACGGCACAAACAGGTTCACAGTCAACCTAAACACGTGCATTGCATTTCAGAGTTCATTTTATTGATGACTTGGGAAGTTCTGTTCAATTATTTCACAGAAACTAAAATTTTCAATCAAATAAACTGATGTGGACACAGTTCAGATTAATGAAGAAAACACAATTATTGTACAATAGCATAAGTGAGACTATGAAATGGCAATACTTTTTTTAAACAACACAGATTTGTAATTTATTTGTTCACTGTGAAGAGGTATTGTACCTTGTACAAAATAAAACAAATTTCTCAACTAACAGGAATGCCTACTGTCATGTTGCAAAGTGAAAATTTATAATCTACACTTTAGGTTTAAAGGCAGAACTATTACTTTCTGTGGTCACTTTAGGCAGCTGGAGGAGTGAAAATTATCCCAATACATGCTTGAAAATAAAGTGAAAAAGTTTTATCAAATTAATAAACAAAGAAGTCTCTTCCTTTAAATTAATGGATGGAACCAACATATTCATGTCTAAAAATTATTGAATAAAATCTCATACACATCAGTATATTAAAATTAGAGGGTTTCTCTGTTTCCACAAAGAGTTGGAGTCAAAGACAACTATCACAGCTTGTGTTTAGTTCCAGAGGCACAAAGGTACTTCTATGGGAATAAAGGCAAGTGCTTGGGCCACCTAATTTGCATAAAAGCAATGAATAGCTTTCCACTAGTAGAAGTTTTCATTCAGTATAGTTAGTTACCCTGGGTGCATCTGCTTTAGGACCTTTAGAAACATAACCTCTGACCAAACTGGTAAAGAAGCAACAGGATTAATTTTGTAATAAAACACAGATGCTAAAAATAATAGGTTACTGAATGCATCCAGTGGTATAAGTTTAAAATTTCTCCTTACACTTTCAAAAGTTTGTATATTATCCTTATATTTACATCATTACCAAAACATTTCAACTTTTCAGTTCACAAGATTTACGTAATACTCAAAACTTTTTCCAATTTAGTAAAATGTTTAGCCAAAAATACATTTTGCTAATTAAAGATTTGTGCAGAAGAGACATCATACTAACAGTCTGAGACCATTCTCAAGGGCTGGGGGTTAACATCTCAGCAAAAGACAACTATAATTAAGAGTTGTAAGGCCAAAAAGTATTTACTGAGAATAACAGTATAGAATTATAACATGAGATACAAGGCTCGGAATATTACCCAATACACCCACTCACTCCTCACTTACCAACATGGTTAAGTTCCAAAGACCAGGTTCATTATGTAAAAATAGAAAGTGGCTACATCATCATTTAACCATCAAACCACTGAAAATCATAGCCCAGAAAGTTGACCCTTAACCTTAACCATCACTGCCAGCATCACTCTTGCCTTGCACCTTGGCGTTTGTTACTGCCAGGAGTATGACCTTAATACATGACATTGTAGATTTCTTTTTACTATAACTGTAAATGCAAAATGCCAGATAATGAGATAGTGAGTAGGTGTCATTGGATAACCATAGGTCAATCACTGCAGGCTGTGCACTCAACAAAGAAAATCCAAGAATGTTAAGTATTACATTCTATTAGCCATTCATCCGAGCAGAGGAAAGGAAGGGGCCCATTTAATCAGTATGTGGCAACAAGAGACAGAAATCTTTCTCAGACGATAAAATTTCTCTATTTATGAGTAAATGGCAATAGATACATGTAATTTTGTTACATAATTCTTTATACTTTTGTTTATGCTTAAAATTTCCTATAATAAAAAAATAAACAGAATGGTTAACTCTTTAGCTATAGCTATCTAGTTTACCAGATAAATCCTAGGATTAGTCCCCTCACTTTCAGGTGGTCCTCCCCTGTAATAAATGAACACCAGCACAAGAAGAAAAGACATTTATTTAACAAGTAACTCGAGTACTCAGAGTGCAAAGCTCTGACATGGAAGTGGGAAGAGAAGATATTAGGAATATAAATACAAACAAAGCACATTCCCTGGCCTTGTGGATCTTGGAATTTAGCAGTCACAAAAGGGCAGGAATAAAGAATGCTGGTGATCAGTGCAATGCTATGTTTTCTTCTCTGGGTTGCAAAGCCCCTCCTCTTCCCAGCTTGTGTCTCCCAAGTTACTGTCCACCCAGCAGATGGCCCTACAGAGCCCTGGGTGACAGAAAACATAGGGACCTTCAAAAATAACCAAACCTGTTGTTGTCAAATGGATTCTGACTCATAGTGACCCTACAGGACACAACAGAACTGCCCCCACAGGGTTTTCTTTATGGGAGTAGATTGCCAGGTCTTTTCTCCCATTGAGCAGCTGGTGGGCTCAAACATCAAGCTTTCAGTGAGAAGCTGAGCACTTAAACACCGCACCACCAGGGCTCTCATAGGGACCTTAGATTTTTATAAAAGTACAAAGTTATTTTAGGCATCCACTTTAATGTAAATCAAAACTAGTAACTGAGGACTCTAATAATCTCCTCCAGAGTTGTTTTCACATCAAAGATAGCCTACAGAAATAAGAGTGCTTCCTGGGGCGTCCCAGATTTTCTCATTTAAGGTATGGCCATCTATAATTTTCCCAGGTCCATATGATGAAAGGCATTGGCATAGACCCTAGTACAATGGTCAGTAACTTCTTAAAGATCTGACCAGGGACCACACCACTTTCCTAGAGATATCAGAGTAACAAAGTAGAGAAAATGACATGCTAAGAGACTAGAGATTGTCAGTAAGAAAATGGTTACTAAAAGCAGTACTCTTACTCAATGGGACCAGGAAATAACAGGATCTGACACAGGGGTCACTATGAATTGGATCCAACTCTACAGCAATGGGTTAAGTAGAAAAGGAATCCTGTTGGCTACTAATTTTCACTATTATCATTGGTAACAGAAGACAACAAGCCAATCTACATGCCATCTTGTGCTCAATTCTATGCCTAATAAATGTTAAAGAATTTAAGCCAAATCATGTTTAGAATACCAATACTTAGATTACTACACCAAGAGCTGAGTAATAATGCCATTTATATTGTGTGTTGTTCTGGCTACCTAGTGCCACTCTGACAAGACTATACACCACAAATGAGATGGCCTTAACAAACAAGAGTTTATTCTTACAATTTGGATGCTTTAAGTCCAAGTTCAAAGTGCCAGGCTGTAGGGGCTGGGTGAAAGCTCTCTCAACTTTGGGTTGCAGCTCTGCGTCCTGCTCCCAGCCCACTGAAGTTGGAGGCTTTTCTTCACTCAGCTGCTGGCTGCTGAGGCTGACAAACCCCAAGATTGACAAGTAAAAAGACACAGTCCCGATGTTACCAACCCACACAGCAGGCCATTACTTCAAGTCCACTGTAAGTCCCAAGGTCGGCAGAGCGTGGCAGGCTGCTGAACAACAACATGGCAGGGGCCAAGTGTGCCATTCCCAAAGCTGCTGCTTATATACGGGAAGAAGACCATATACCCAAAGCAGCTACTCAGCTGCTTATGGTAGATCCCACCATGGAGTTGATGGCCAGTCTCATCATGGGGAATAACTACCACTAGCTGCCCAGCCACTCAACCAGGCCCAGCCAAGTTGACACACAAACATAACCACCACATGTGTATACACATAAACCTACACGCTTGGATTTAATCACTTTCTACTGGATAGCTAGTTCATGGACTGATTTACCTTGTTTATTTCTATTAGAGTCTATTAAAAAATTAAACCTAATGGGTTTTTGAAATTCAGTTCTAATGGACTGAGTATATTTTAAAGCATACATTAAAATCCAACAGCATTTTTTTTTTTTTAACAGCAAAAGCCAAAAAACAAGCAGTTCTCAATTTACAGTCAACATAGCAGGCTGTCAAACACTCCTTCCCCCTTAGCACATATGGTACTTTGCTGTATATTACTAAAGTTGACAGCTGTCTTACAAATGTTCTGAAATCATTCATCTTATTTAATGGAGTTAACATGGATATAAAGATGGTATTTTACTCAAGTTACTGTGGTAACAATAAAACATCTTAAAAAGTGTGTACCTGAATTTTACTCATCTATATTTGAGTTAGAATATGTAATCATTTTGCTATTAGTACCTGAAAAGAGAGTTCATTCATAGAATGACAAGAGTTAAAGCTGGCATGAACTCAGAAGTTATCTAACCCAGTCCCCTCATTAACCGAAAGGTAAGGCTCAGAGATGAAATGACTGGAAGAGCTATAGGCAGAACCCAAGTCTTTGTCACCTAGTCCAGTGCTCTAGTAGAGCTGCCACTTTTAATCTTTTAACTCACATGGTATGTTGTTGTTGTTATGTGCCATCGAGTCAGCCCCAACTCACAGCAAGCCCTCTTGGGTTTCCAAGGTGGTATCACTACAGAGGTAGATTGCCCAACCTTCCTTCCAAGGAGTGGCTGGTGGGCTTGAACCACCAGCCTTCTGGTTAGCAGTCAAATGCCTTAGGCACTACGCTACCAGAGCTCCTAAAGTGTCACACAGTATTGTTGTTATGTGCCATCAAGTCAGACCTGACTCATAGCGACCCCTCCCTGGGTTTCCGAGGCAGTATCACTACAGAAGTGGATTGCCCAACCTTCCTTCCGAGGAGTGGCTGGTGGGTTTGAACTGCCAGCCTTCTGGTTAGCAGTCAAGTGCCTTAGGCAGTACACTACCAGGGTTCCTGTCACACAGTATAGGTTAGCATATTTTCTAATACATCCCTAGCATAAAATTTCCCTTCAAATACTCTTTTTCCATCTTCCAATTACACTTTCAGGGAAATGATCCTCATTAAAATTCTCTCTCAGCCTAACTGTCTCCCTTACATAAGTGTAACGTAATTAACATTTTATATCACTTTATTGTTGTCATCAGTCTCCTACAGCTTGAGGGATACAACCATTACTTAAAACGTTAGATAGACAGGCCAAGTTTTTTTGACATATTGTATAGGTGAGTAGGAAAATGACCTGTCAAGTCCCACAAAGCGTTGTGGCCCTAACAAGAAAAAAAAAAAAAAATCAGCCCTCTTTTCTTTGGCACTGGTGTTGTAATTCCTTGCCTAACTTCATGCTGTCCATCCTCAAATGATGTGGTAGAAAGGGTTCCCTTAATGGTCTTCTTTTTTTAAAAAAAAACATAGGAAATGGATGTTATGCACAATTCTTACACAAAGTTCCTATTTTCCTAATGTTTTCCTTTTTTTTTTCAAGTTTATGATGTTTGTGAGAAGTCAGATAACCAATCTCCATTTTTCTTTTAGTTCCATAAATCAAAACCTAACAGATTAGAATGAGTTCTTAATTACCTACTCATCCAGGATAATAATTGCTACTGGTGTAGGCCAAAGTTTTTGTATCTTTAAAGTAAATGAGATCATAACAACAGCTCAAACCACTGAAAACATCTGTATTTTGTATTCTGTAAATACAAATCACTGAAGACAAAAAAATTGAGATATTCATTTCCCAATGATAAAATAAATGTGGGTAGCTCTGATGGACAATCCAAACTCCTAAGAAGTCTAACTCTGCTGTAGAACTCTTCAGAATTTAAAAAACCTCTGGCATAACTCACTGTGGAGCACTTCTTAAGAGTTGTAAAAGTTAAAATTTAGCATACTCAATGCAATGGCTAAGGACAACTTACCCTTACACAGTGAAAACTACTATTAGAGGGAAATCGCAAATAGCTAGCAGTAAAGAACAATGATATACAAGTTTAAATCAAGGCACGATGGTTAAGTGACTTTTTGGGAGACTAGAACAGGTAAAAAGAACCATTCAAAGCTAAAATAACTGAAAAGCATGGTCAAGCAGCAAAATACTTCTAAACTGCATTGAGCCCTGAATTGTCACAGTATTTAAAAACTTAGTGTTTCTTACTTGAGACAATTTGTCTCCTGAGATACTACGCAGAATGAAGATACTTGTTGAAATACAATTAAAGTAATCTTCTCCTCATACCTAATGTTCCTTGGATTTCTCCCAAGATCCAACCATGCCCAAGGAAGCATTAAGTCTATACTTGGTAAAAATCCAAAGTTACTTTATTCATATTTGACTCACTATCTAGTTTCTCCTTTGTTTCTTATATAATTTTGTAAAAAAAAAAAAAATCACTATCAATTTTGAGTAAGAAGCCTTTTCCTGGGTCTGGAAATACTGTTAACATATGAAAGCACAGAGACTAGTTCCCTAATGTTTTGGGTAATATTTTTTCCAAGAAAAAGATAAATGAACTAAACCAAAACCAAACCCACTGTAAGACAGTTGATTCTGACTCATAGTGACCCTGTAAGACAGAGTAGAACTGCCTCATTGAGTTTCCAAAGCTGTAAATCTTTTATGGAAGTAGACTGCTTCATCTTCCTCCCACAGAGCGGCTGTTAAGTTCAAACCACTGACCTTCTGGTTAGGAGCCAGATGCTTTAACCATTCAATGATCAGAGCCCCTTAAAATCAAACTACATGTCTAAAAGTAAAGCTGAATTCACACATCGATGCCCCAAACTCAACGCTTACTCTGTTAATAAATAAGAACCTACAATCTTACTCATTAGAATAAAATATTCCAAGGCTCCATCCAAAGCACTCAAAGGAAAAATGTAATCTGACAACATAAGGAATAGTCAGTCCCCCTATAACTGTTTATTAGAATGTGAATATATTCCAAATCAATAACTGAAAAAAAAAATCAAGTTACAAAGCATGCATAAAATACAAAGTAGCAATTTACAAACAGATAATATCTTCATAACCAATACAGGAAAATAAAGTGGCCGTAGACGAAAACCAAAATGAATGACTACAGCAATGCCTTCCGTGCACCCCACACGTCATGAGCACCGCAAAAGACAGAAGAGTAATCATGAAACAAAGTAATCTGTGCAAGCCCACACATATATATTTTTTGGGATATCCCACCATCCTGAATAGTATCACTGCAGTTGACACAATTTGCAGAACACTGCAGAGTAAGTGCTTAATATTATCCACAAAAAAGTAAAACTAAATATCAGTGTGCACATTTCTGAATGAGAAACTAGTTGCTCCATTGATTTCAACATGTAGTGGAAGAAAACTATGTTAAGTTTGTACAATGCCTAAATGCATTCTATTTAAACTCAAGGTACTATTTCATCTTACATACTAAAAGAATACATGCCTTTAAGTGATATCACTTGAGCAGAAAGTAACCTCTCATTGTATTCCTTAGACAAACTGAAACCAAAGACTTAACTGGACTATATTCTATAACATACTGTAAAACTCAAATATCAGCACTATCAAAATAATTACCCATGCCTGTGGTGGATATGGTGACAAAACTAGGTTGCATTTCATTTACTGGAAAGTTTTAAGAAAAAATTAACACTTAAAGGTTTGATACTACCAGCATTAATCCAGTCATTGCCTGAGCAATAAAATGCTGCATGATCTGCTGCTGGGAAATTAGATCAGTTAAATGATGTGGGCTGCCTGATTGTTGCAACAGTGGCATTTCAGATGGAATTCCACCAGTCACTAGTTCCCAGTCTGTCAGGCAGCATTATATAATATGTGGCCCCATAATCATACTGCTGCCAAAACCATAACAGTCGTTTTGTGTTTATTAAGATTATTCTTGTTCAGAAAAAAGTGCCCCTCTCTCTAACCAACTTTGATGCTTACAAAAATTAAAGAACAAAATACACTAAACTACACAAATTTATTAAGGCATTTTAGGAAAATGACTTTCAGAATAATGGATAAATTTCAAGCTCTCAAAATCTTGCTATGTTTAAAGGGTAATTTTTAGATTTGTGGAAATATACACTGCACTGAGAGAAGAGTGTATTAATTATAAGCTGCTCTGTGGGGCAAAATAACAGCTGATTTTTTAAAGGTCTTAGTTTGATTTGATCAAGACCAACAGATCTGAGCTTTGAGTGATCAAATTCTACTATATCCTACAGTGACAGGCTACCATGATGAAAAGTAAACAAAATTGAGGAATCCAAACATTCAGTTTATTAAACTAAGGCTGGTGTGGCCATAGCATGAAAAAGAGCTGCAGTCATTTGGGACATGTGGATGATTTTATAAAGCTAAAATCAAAGACTCAAGACATGGAAAAATTCATAAGTATAAGGAAGTAATAAAACACAAAGGTGACCACAAGAATTACAAATATATTTAAATCTCAGACCTGGGAAATGGACTATACACAGCCTTCTAGGGGAGAAGAGAAAACACCTTAGATGTTCTGACAGCATTGCACCTTTGGCTTGTTTTCAGTGGTTGGAGGAACATGAATAGGAACCACATTGTTGCTTGGAGACATGTCATTTTCACGTCTGTCTGACATTTGCTTCTGAGAAACAATGCGGTATATCTCTGAATGAAGCAAAGAAACAGCAGTATTTAGTGTGAATAAACTCATCAATAATCGATAAAAAGAAATGTACCAGTACATTTGCAGGAATGACTGATTTTGAGGATACAAATAAACTGAATAGACAATCCATAAATTTAAAGTTGTATTTTCACTGATTAGGAGATCAAGTAATGTTTCATTCTGCCATACACAGTGTTGCCATGAGTTGGAACCAACACAATAGCACCTAACAATAGCAACAAGAGGAGCAAAGATCTTTCCATGCCAAAGGAAAAGGTTCACCGAAGTCAAATAGATAAATCTTGGTTTAAAGGGTCTTACATGGCTTACAGGTTTAGATCTCAATTAAATCATGGGATAATTTCAGTCTGCCCTTAATTTAAAAAGCCTATGAACACTGACACCGTTTCATGGAAAACTAAAAATTATTCTGCACTATCACACGTCAAGTATTTTTCCAGGCCTAAGGCACTTGACTGCTAACCAGAAGGCTGGAGAGTCAAACCTACCAGCCACTCCTCAGAAGGAATGTTGGGCAATCTACTTGCGTAGTGATACTGCCTCAGAAACGCAAGAAGGGATCGCTACTTGTCGTGTCCGACTTGACAGCACATAACAACAACAACAACAACATCACACATTATCAGGTATTTTTCTAGGATATAAAGGGATGAGCAAAACTTCATGCACATAGCAAAATTCTAAAGGACTCTTGGAAGGGAAGGAAGAATGGATAATGTGCTTATCAGTGACCTTCTGAACTAAAATTTAATTAATTATTCAAAACAAGCAGTCAAGATTTTGTAATATTATAGTCTATTTTTCTTTCATGATACTTACCAAAACTAAATGCTTAGTATATGCCTCTCCCACTAAACTGTCTCAGGACCAAAATTATGCCTGCCTTAAACTGATTTCTGGCCTACAGCACATAGTAGGGGTTCAATAAATTACTAATAACATGAATGTTGTTGTTTTTAATTGCCATCGAGTTGATTAGATGCCATGGGACCCATGTGTGCAGAGTAGAACTGCTCCATAAGGTTTTCAAGGCTGTGAACTTTCAGAAGCAGATTGCCAGATCTGTTTCCCAAGCAACCTCTGGGTGGGTTTGAACGGTCCAGCTTTTGCCTACTAGTTAAGAGCTTAACTGTTTGCAGAACAATATTAAGTATCTTCGTTTAATCTTTATTTGGTCTTTTACTGTATTGCCTAAAAGTAGTTCCCTCTGACTAGATTATAAATTCCTTAAAAACAGATAATGTATCTTATTTATCTTTGCTCTTCCAGTCCCCACCCCCCAACAAAAACCTGAAAAAAGTAAGGAAATTCTTAAAATAAGACAAATTAACATGATAGGCCTTCTAATGTGATGTGCTATGAATGATACATGAATATATGTATTCTTGTCAAAAATGTTGGGACTAAATTTAATTATGAGCAAACAATTACATAAATCCAAATTAAGGGACATGCTACAAGAGAACTGGGCTGGACTCTTCCAAAAAGTTATTGTCATAAAATACATTTAAATGATTAGGGTAAATGTTCTAGAATTGTGCTGTCCAATACAGTACCCACCTATATAAATTAAATAAAGTTATGAGGTAAGAAAGAGAAAGAAGAATAGTATCTTCAAAATGTTCATTTTTGAAGACATCTGGATACTGACTGAAACTGTCAAGGCAACCTCATGTGTGCAGAATAGTACTGTTTCCATAGAGTTTTCAAGGCTGTGACTTTTTGGAAGCAGATCAACAGGCCTGTCCTCTGAGTCACCTCTGGGTAGGTTCAAACCATCAACCTTTTTGCTAGTAGTCAAGCACTTAACCATTTGCACCTTCCAGGGACTCCTGCACCATGAGTAGGAACTGACTTAATAGGCAAATGACAACAAATTTAACTGTTTAAAAAAAAAAAGAAATTGGTCCAACACCCATTTCTGATCAAAACTCTCAGCAAAATAGGAGTGGAAAGACATTCCTCAACATAATAAAAGGCATTTATGCAAAACCAACAGCCAATATTACCCTCAATGGAGAGAGACTGAAACCATTCCTCTTGAGAACA